AGGATTATGAATACATTTTCCTGTGACAGAACTATCATTACCAGCCCTTTAGGTAAGAATAGCACTTGCTACGGTTACTGTATCTGTAGAAGAAGGTGTATTTACGTGCAATGCCTGTATTTTTCACTTCGCCTGCATACAGTATACTTCGCTCCTGAGCGGAGCAAAACCTTGCATAATATGATATTTTGGTAGCGGAAAATGAGCTCTGTTTATGAGACACTTTTGATCGTTTTCATTCAGATATATATATATTTTTTGTTCAATGTTAAAATTTGGATTCAAAATTCTGCAATGTGATATTTATGTCCAGCTCCAACGCGCAGATTTTTGGAAACCCGTTCTATCAAAAGCAAGGCATCAACTTTTTTATCTATAAACTAAAGCTATAAGAATCATATGACTCAAATCTCAATGCGGTTGTGGGCTATTGAAAAAATCCATTGATATCCGGGTAAAAAAACTTGCTCCGCACGAGACGGCTATGATATAAATACTGGAATTCTTTACCTCCACATGTAGCCATTCATGGTCATGAATGCAATGGTCTCTACATAACTCATTCAAAAGTGAAGGTAGCTGTCCAACAAACGTTGAAACAAATCAAAAGCGCAAGAAACCTTGGGTTTCAACTTAATTATATCATTGAGTAGTGCGTCGTTTTCTACTGAGCACATTGATATGGAATAAGCTAATTTAGGACTCCTTCTCTTCAAGCTGCGTTAGATTGAATGATTGTGATAGTGGAAAAATGCGGTGGATCAAGTGCCACCGCTACAATTTCGTTAGATTATTTTTTATCCGAGCTTCTCGTCTCGACGACAACCTTGAAGCCGTTTTTTGGATCAATAAGCGCTCGCACTTCACGTTGAAATTATCTTGCTATGTCCTTTATCCTGTAAACTCAAGGTATAATAATATAGAAATTCAAGGCTTCTAAAGTCACGCTACTGGATTTTGCAAGTAGATCTGCAACGCCACCAGATAAAATACGACAAAAAGTTATAAAAATAACCCGATAATAAATTTAAAATTAGCTGTAAATTTCTAAGAGTAACGTTTGTCGCACAGATGCTACGGGCGATGGCATTGCTCACCTGAAGCCACGACGCCTGACACTAATGTTGTAGTGAGATAAAGAGATACTACGTTGATTGATTTAAAAGTCCTTGCATAGACTGATGCGGAACATAGAATTTTTATAACATTGTTCATCTAACGGATACGTTATCTTCCTGACGTTTAGAATACTATTATTTGTTAATGTAGCGAGTGAAGAATTTGCAGCTAAAGGCTACCGTGTTACCTATGCAAGTTTAAAAACTCCTCTTTCGTGGTGCATTCTACCCTTTCTGTCGATATTGTGGAGTTTCCCATTCAACGTCACCTAAGAATGCACATCCGTCGTCTGAAATACAGCTATGACATTAATCCACTTGTATTTCATCGTCTTACAACCAAAAGCTGAGTCTTGAAATAAAACCGGAGAAACGCTCAATATATGAATTGAAAAATTTGGAAAGATTTTTGAAACTGATGTGATAACATAAAATTTTCTTATTTATCATTTTGCAGCTGGTAACAATGTATGCTCGTGGTGAACTATTCCCATCGACATCCTCCCAAAATGGCCCTGATTCCTGATACTTCAAATTGTTCTAAGATTCGACAAATGTGAGCAGAATTACATGCGTTGCATATACCATTGTGAGGGGGCATATATTTATTTAACTTTTCGTGAGGAAGCATTTATTATAAAGCACCATCACTGGTGCACTAGAGTTGGCCATCCTCCCTGGGAACCCCAACTGGCGAGGAACAAATGCCTGGGAATCTCATTCAGTTTCCTAAGGGTTATGGCATCCGCAGAGTCAAGTTCAAAGCAATTATTTCATAATTGATCATATGTGTCCGCGCACTTCCTCGTCTTTAGGTTATCATTAGAAGTAAAGCTTTAATAATTACGAAGTGAAGCGTGAGAATAGAGTTCTTTGTGAATGAGGTTAACTATTGTCCTGATGCGATGGACATGATATTGTTATCAATGTAAGACCTAATGTTGTTACTATGTGTAGCCCATAATTCGGCAGCAATTTGGTCCATAATATACAATGGTAATTCACGGACAATACTGCACAGAAATTCAATTATTGACGGCAACAAGAATATAATTAAAATTGATTTGTTGAAGGTCATAAGGATGAAATTATTCAAAGCTATATATTCGAGCCTGATCTGCTAACTTTTTTTTAACATTGGAAAAATGGTACCGATTTTCCTTCAAATTATACTTCTTCGTTGAATTTAGATTGACTCCCAATATGAATACTGCAAGTTCATTGCTAAAATGCATTTTAAATTTTTAATGTGTTTAATTATGCAAATAAGACGTGCATTTACGTCAAACAAAACTGCTTACTACTCCTAATTCATCACGTTTCTGCCTACCTCAAGCTTACGCCTTGCATCTTGCTTTGAATCGTCGTAAACGGACCATGCAGCGCGAAGCTACTCAGTGATGATCTTATATACCAGCTTTACTAATTTTTTCCTCAAAAATTTTCGTCGATAATGCAAAAATTACCCATTTTCATCTTATTGATGCCCATAGATTACTGTTTTAACTTATTTTGGCAATTAATAACGATGCGCATAACAGAGCATGTCATAGCAAATGCTCGGTATTTTATATGACAGGCAATCAGCGAATGCGAAATGGTGCTTTGCCTGACTATCACTCGCCGCGTTGAAATTATTTTGTCAAACTATAAACGAGTAACCTGCTTGGTATACTGGCAAATTCTCCGATCCCGTTACTTACAGTACATCTGTGTTCTGCGCTCGTCTCTACTCCCGTGTTGGGTCCTCAAGCATGTGGTGTATCCCTGTGCTCAGAACTTGTTCCTGCAAGCAATAGTGGCATGCCTCAGCGCTCATGGTGCGCCTTGGAACGCGTGGCATGTCTCAGATCTCATGGTGCGCCTTGGAACGCGTGGCATGTCTCAGCGCTCATGGTGCGCCTTGGAAAGCGTGGCATGTCTCAGCGCTCATGGTGCGCCTTGGAACGCGTGGCATGTCTCAGCGCTCATGGTGCGCCTTGGAACGCGCGGCATGTCTCAGCGCTCATGGTGCGCCTTGGAACGCGTGGCATGTCTCAGCGCTCATGGTTAGCCACGTGCGCCTCGAAGCACGTGACGTGTCTCAGGTCTCATGGCAAGTCTCGGATCACGTGCCGTGAAGGCCGTGGCAGGACAGCACGACACGGCATGTCGGAGCAACGGCAGCGGTGGCCGTGAGGGGCGCTAAGCTCCACTAGATCTTCAGGTCAGAGCAGTGACTGTTGACAAGCGGTTGACAAGCTATTAAGATAAGATTGTTGTTATTGTTGACAAGATAAGCTCTTGGCAAGCTATTGACAAGCTGTTGACAAGTCATTGACAAGCTATTGATAGCTGTTGAAAAACTATTGACAAGCTGTTGACAAGCCGCATGGCGGCAAATCAACCTCAGCACCACCTGTAGCTAGTCCCCAGCGCAGCAGCCACTAGTCGCCAGCAGCAGCCACTAGTCGCCAGCAGCAGCCACTAGTCGCTAGCAGCAGCCACTATCCGCCAGCAGCAGCCCCTAGTCGCCAGCAGCAGCCACTAGTCGCTAGCAGCAGCCACTAGTCGCCAGCAGCAGCCACTAGTCCCCAGCAGCAGCCACTAGTCACCAGCAGCAGCAGCCACTAGTCCCCAGCATTACACGGACGGAGGCCCCAATTAATAGCTCCTTGCGTGTCGCCGCTCAGACCATGAAACGCCTGCACTTGATCCGCGCCACCGCTGCCGACCGCCTATGGATCAAGTGCTACGGGGTGGAATGTTTACTGATCAATTCCTAGCCTTGACCTCATTTGAGTCTGATTAATGGTCAGATTAGTGGTCAGTATTTATGGGTGGTTAGTTTTCTGCAATTGCAGAAATCATTGGTCAATCATAGTGACGTGCTGCGGTAAATGATCGTTGGTGAGCCGTGGTATAATTGAGAAAAAATGACCACAAACTGAGAGAAATTTTCATATATTTTTCCTTTGTTGTTTTGCATGTTGTTTGATTTCTAAGCGGATCCCGGATATTCATAATCAGTACATTAACTAGCATAAGCAATAAGGTTGAACCCGATGAATATATGCATGTCAAGGCTGTTCTTAACATCTAAAGAGAACTACGTGTAAAAGGTACAAAAGGTGCTGGAACAACTAAAGTTCATCTTCATATAACCGCCCCAAAACGCTGCAGGACAAAAATTTAGCTGAATATTATTCTTCTACTACCACCTTAAAACCAATAGGCTCAACAAACCAATAATAGAAGTAAAAATAAACCCGCGAAGAATTTTTAGAACTAATCTCAATTCGGCAGATACCTTCTCAAGAGCATCGCAATATAATGCAGTGTGTTGGGGACGCAGCAAGTGATGTTGAATCTATGAAAAACTTATAGCATCTTTAAACGCGAGTTCGCACGCGATGCATTACATGGTGAACGCCAATGACTCGGTCTCGATGACGTTCATACAGAGCGCACCAGCCGTTATGCTGCAGTTATTACCAAGTTGAGCAAGAAGTGAGCATGACAGTGAGCATGACAGTGAGGATGATAAAAAGCATGACTCGGTGCTTCGCGATGTTCATTTGACCTCCAGTGAACCACGAACTGTAGCAAGGTTCTTCATCCAGATATCAATGCAAGGCCAGACTCTGTGTCCCTGTCTCGATAATAGGCCATCGTGTCCATATATTATTATGTATATGCCACGTTATATACATATAATTAACAATTCCATTGTTATATTATGAGATAATTATTACCTTATTAAGATTGCATAAGTCCCTCCATCATACTTGTACCAGCCATTCTGTACAAATCGACAACTGTTAAATTCTGTTATTATTTGTAATCATAAAATATAATACTTGAAATTACAAACTAATTCATTATATTTAACACGTTTTTTTCAGAGCTATAGTAACGATGAAAGGGGAACAATTTTTACGAGCAAGCTGGACACTTTCATCGTGACAAATGTTGAAGTAGTCGTGGAAAGTTTTAAACAATTGTGTTAGATATATAATAGCCTGCACAAACCATTAACTTTGAAATTGATATAAAACTAGTCTCGGTGCTTTAAAATTAATCTCAGTGAATGTTTTTAGAGTGTTGAAAACATACCAAATTTAAAATTAGATTTTAAAGGAATTTTATACTTTAATGTTTGTAGCTTCAAACCGAATCAGAAAATTATCTGTTGTTAAGTGCAAACATTTTTCGATATTTGTTATTTATCTCTCTAAGCATCGCATTTGCTCTGTAGCTTTGAATTTCAATTAGAATTTATCTCAGTGAAACAAAATACTCGTGAGCAGCTAACAGAGGCATCATGGCAGTGCTTGGAATCTCAATTGTGCTGCTGGCTTCTCTTCTCGGATCATCAGCATCGGTAAGTGATAGGCTTGGTCTGCCAGACCCAACAGCATTAGTGACAAACTTTTACAATTTAATCTTAAATTTCCTTTTAACTAATTTTAACGTCAAAATTTTAAGACCCGTTATTGTGAAACTGTTTAATATGCAATATGTTATTATAACTGTGTCCATGTTCGGCGTTGATGGCTCACGAATCTGCATGTGATCCCGCCGCATAAATAAACATTTGTATGGAAATAACACACGCTTTTATTCCACTGAGCATATGTGCTAAGAATTATATTTGATGCCTCACATTTTCAGAGCGAGCAATCTTAATGTGAAACTGAAACTTATCGTAAGTATAGCACATAGCTATATATATAACAGGTAGGAATAACTAATAGATTGTCATGGCTTTTATTTTAAGTTGCGGGAGAGCCGCCACAAGAACCCAACTATTTAGATAATGACAGCTCATTAATTTGTCTATGTCATCCGACGAGGTTGCTTGCTAGAAAAGTCGTAATCGGAATTTTAAGCATTTATTGAATGACAAAGTTTAGATAAAATGTTAATAACTAGCTTTTTCATCGAGAAAAGATCGAAGAATTATGGACGCATCAGGTATGAAATTAACTGTTACAAATGATCCGAGAATGGCAGCTCCAAGATAATTATAAGCATTGAATTAGGAGAGATAGACAGGCTCCGTCCAAAACCAATCAAATAACACTGTTTTTCAAAATCATACAGCATACCCTAGGATCGGTCGATGTCACAATTAAGGGCATATAGCTACACCCAGACAGAGCACGTTAAAGATGCGAAGTGCAAAACGTATAGCGAATATTTAACGTAGTGAGAATGAGTATCGTGAATACGGTATCTTTAACGTGGTGTGAATACGTTTCGTGAATACAGCATCTTCGGCGTAATGTAAATACGCATCGTGAATACGTAGTGTCCAGAGCAACGTAAAGTAACGGGCCACATCCTGACTCGAGTCTTCGACCCCGCTCATCTAAGAGAGCCTCCAACTGCCCAACGCCCTCTTGCGGAAGTGGCTTTCGCAACTCACGGCAGGAAGGAATCAAAGGTCTGCGATCTATAGCGAATATTGCTAGGAGACGAACGGATATTTGAGCTGCAGTTAAATAATGACACAATAAAAATTTGTAAATTTAAACTGAGGATGGGGAATCTTCAGTTAAGTACTTGCATGAGCACAGTAAGCATTTAGGAACCATTAGAAGGCCTTACCAGCATGTTCTGGCATCAAGATTATTCAATTGGCAATTGTGCAATAGTTCACGCGTGAGACAAATTTCACTCTCAATTTTTGTTAGAAGATTTTCGAACATGATTTAGCGAAAGATAGGCTTACATCGTTGAGGGTAAATGTATTTGTCCATCATAAGCTGGAAATTTTATAGCTATAAGGATCCGTTGTTTGCGATGAACAAACAATGGACGTCCCTTTACGGACGAGGTGCTAACTGAATAGCGCAATTCAGGGGCGTCGGGTGTGCGGCGTGAGCGATGCCACATGCGGTGTACAGACGGCAAATCAAGAAAGATTATTTTATAACTCAAATAAAAAGCTCAAATTCATTAATATTACCTCATTTGTTAACGAACTTTCGGGAACATGCAGTGCATGAATTCTAAACGCATAACAATTCTTTTTTTTTTTTTTTGCTACACTAGCTCACTAGCATCTTTTGCTCTCATTTGCCTACAACTTGAATAATTTTTAGACATCGTGGAACAATGCATTTAAGCACGTTTTATTTTCTCGTTTTATTTCTTACAGAGCAAAATAAGAGATTTCTTACCCAACCTCGTTTTACTAACCCAAACCAATTACCGACGCCACTGATGTTGAGAAGATCGCTCATTTGCTCAATAAATCTAAGACAACTTGTAGCTGCGGTTCACTGATACACTTCATAATTGTAACCCATTTCAGAATATATTTACATTTGGAAACTATTTTATATTAATTTATAATTTCAACTGCGAACTTATGTTCCCAAAAATATTTTTTATTCAAAATATTTTAACTTGATTCCGATGGTAGCTCCTGATATCAATGATGAAGATGTAGACGAGGAGGACTCGTTTTTTTTCAAACGTGAAGCGTCAGTGGGAAACAGCGACCGTTAATTTCCATCCATTCATACAAATTACGTTCCACTCTGGCGATAATTGTCCGCATTGTGATTAAATTCGAACATTTATGGAATATACTTCCCCCATAAGCCAGTCAACCATGCAACAGCTTCATGTTTGAGCAAACAAGTTCCGTGCTCTCGAATGGAACTTTGATCGCATCTTTACTGACTTGACCGAGTATTTTTGTTGTTCAATGCAATCAAAATAAATGGATTAGCACGTAAATGAAGTGCAAAAGTAATGGTTTTAATCCGCACGGTACTCATTTTTGTAAACAGCTTGAGCTTAGGTACCGTTATGAGAAAAACAAAAAACTGGAGTCAGCTTATCCTGTCTTCAGATTTCTAGTCCCGGATGTGCGTGAGTATTTTTCAGATCCCTTGCATTTTCCCTCGATCAGTTGCCCCTTCTGATCCTCGAACAGCCCGACCTTCCCAGAGATCTCACGCAAATTACATTTTGCCAGGCAGTTCTGAGCAGCGAATGACCTTTCGGCTCACCCCGAAATTAGCTCAGAACCCATGAGAATTACACGTGATAATAAAGCCACTTTTATGTTCTCCGCTCTTGCATTTCAGAACTATTAATTGAGTTCAATTGGTCCCGTAACTAGTTGGGTGACTATGGAAATTTGGACAATGTATGGCTGGTCGGCTTCATGGCTTGAAACTAACATGATGTTCATGTAAGAATATATTGGTGCATTCTTATATTATCCTTTGTTTACGTATAGTCGTTTAGTCAAAAATAATTGAAGGGTTTAGGACCTTGGTATCTTCCGAGGCCGTGCTATACAAACTCACTATGTAAAACCCTTTGCGTCTGTGATTGGCGGGATTGAGATGGAAAAGCCGTGAGGCATTTGCTAACGGAGTTAATAACTCGTAACTATTTTTGTAGTACAGGCCCTGAACGGTATCTTTTTGTGTAAGAAACAAACGTAACGCATGACTTGTGACCTCGGATGCGATCTGTTAGAGTTCATAGAGCGGATATATTGCGTCATCACTTCCTATTCGCAAATCATGTTCTTCAAATTTTAGCTCAAATCTTCTTAATCTCGTGCTTGTGTTCAGAAATGTGGAAAATGTAACAAGCATTGTAACCCTGTCCATATTTTTATGTTGAGAGCTGAAGTGAGAAAAAATTTGTTGATTCCTGAGGTATGCATTCAGAGTAAAGATGCTCGATAAAATGTTTTTGTTCACTAGACATATTTAACTGCGCAGTGTTTTCACAAACTAAAAATCTGTGACCTCAAGTATTTTCATCAAATATTATATCACTGCAGCTTAATGCATACTTTATATTAGCGAAAACAACACCAGACAACCATCTACACCGTGATTCTTTGGGTATTATTCTTTACAAAATAGATGCTGCACAAGAAAATGTATTGCTTTTTCATGTTAGCAATTTATCTTTTCCTATTTTTGCACAAAGTATTCAGAATTATTATAGTACGGCAAATATTTCAAAGCATGAATCGCTAGAGATGTGGACAACAAAAAGGCTCATTTACGCATCCTCGTTACTTATTCCCATGCACAGCAGTCAAGTCAAAGCCTACATTGAATGGCGAGGAATGAATCAAAGAATAAACAATGAATATCTTTTTGTATAGACTTGTTCCATTAGTATAGGTTGGCAAAATTTGTTCCTTTAATCAGGTTTCATTGAGGACCAGAGAATTCGTTTTATTGAATTCGTCATTGAATTCAATGTTTTATTGAATTTAATTCGTTTTATTGAATTTAATTATTCCTCAATAAAACGAATTCTCTGGTCTTCAATGAAACCTGCTTCAATTGAGAATAAAACTTCTGGCGCAGCTCTTTAATCCTCCATATCTCACATGGGGCACGGCCATTAATGCAGGATCACATGGAGCCTTGCATCTAAAGGTCCCGCTTGTTAGCATTGTTAGAGGGGCCGATGCAGACAATAACAGCCTTCCCGTTGCAGTACAATGGCATTAACTGTTAAGGAATGCGGGCAGGATAATGAGTTGACGCTGGGAGGCAGCGTCAATAAGGCAGTTAAGTGAGTGAAGACTTCTTCAAGGACTTGACTGTTCGTACAAATTCAAGGACGTGAAGACTGCATGTAGTTGGAACTTCTTTTTATAACAACCACAACCAATCCAAAGGTCCATTAGAATAAGACTGTGCTGAATGCTTAAATATGTTACAGTAACGATGAATTTAAAGCTTAAATTTTTTTACTGATTATGAAGTTTAAAATTTTTTGGGAGAATATTTTGATCTTCATGCATTTCTCAGGCATATAAAAACTGCAGATATTATGAATCTGGAGCAAAAAAAACGCTATACGTTATTTTAACGACAGTACGAACTAAAAACACTGACGCCTAAAATTCGGGCCTTTGAAAATTGAGTCGCACTTAAATTTTGAAGAAATATTTCACGGTTGCTACGCATGCCATGCAAGTTATAGTACAGAAATATTCATTCAGCTATAATGCGTAATGAATTTATTTCCGGGACTTATTTACGCCCGAGCTTTTGGTGCAGCAAAGTCACGGCCTGAGCGTCTGCTTCACATCGCTTGTCAAAGTACAATGTACGGCCGACGTTACCATTGTAAAGAATTACGTAAATCTCGGTATTGCTCGTGATTTTATTCTGTTCATGGTAATAGGTTTCCAAACTGAACTAACAATTTAAAAAGTTTTCCACTTCTTATTATTCCCATTACCTGCCTTTGAGTTGTTAGATTTATTATATTTCTAATGGATCATTCTAATGTCAATTATCGTTTTTCACTAAAATGACAGGGTTTATTCTCACAGATTACATTTCGGCAGACATATTTTGGCAAAATATGAACAATTTATGGGCATGTTCTTGATTTTTAATTCGATTGAATTTTCACTTTATTTCTCCGACGCCATTTTACATTTTTTATTTGTTGGTTTTCAAATAAAATTTACCCTTCAATCCATTTCTATATCCCATCATAAGTGAGGAATAATAACTGGCAAGAGCCTAGGCCCGGAGCGGCTTCAAGTCGTTGCTGCAGACGCACCCCCGACGCTCCAGGCAAAACGAAGCTCCCGCGACACTTCCTTATTGTCCCTCCCGCCGCTCCTCGGCGCATCCTGCAGCGCGCAACCTGTTACAAATCATGCAAATGATTGCAATTTCGAACAATGTTATATTCGATATAATCGAATAGATGCCCCCTAGTCTCTCAGCAAGATAATAAAGCTGTTTTTTAAGGTCTCCCAGTCGCCCTAAACGGGAACTAATCAATTTTTCTAGGTATCCCACACCCTGTGCAATCATGAAGCAGTTTTTCTAGAAACCCATGCTCAACATGCACGATAATGAAGCAGTTTTTCTAGATGACCCTGTTCACCCTGCACGGCATTAGAACGGTTATTCTAGATGCCCCTAACTCACCCTGCACGAAAAGGTAATGGTTGTTCTAGATGCCCCTAGTCAATAAACTACAAATGGATAACACTCAATTTAGAGTAGCTGCTATGATCTAAACTCCTAACCTCAGTGAATATCATGGAATATCTGCAGCGCCTGTCGGATCTACCTTCTAGAAGACGATTGCGCTCGCCATCATCAGCGTCCATCTATAATATCGACGACAGAGCGTTACGTTAAGTTCTAGCGTCGACGACAGAGCGTTACGTTAAGTTCTAGCGTTAAGTTCTAGCGTCGACGACAGAGCGTTACGTTAAGTTGTAGCGTTAAATTCAAGCGTCGACGACAGAGCGTTACCGGTCGCCATCGCCAGAACTTAAACAGTCTGCCGGATTACGTAACATCGGCTCCTTCGTCGCCGGGGTTTCGGCGACGCCTCGATCAATACATAACTATCTCGCATAGCCTATGGATCTAGTGCTTAGTCATTTACATATATCCATTCTAATCCTTTCGCACGTCTTTTTATTTTCCGCTTGCTATTAAACTTATGTGTAACGTGCCCTCGAAGTTTGTTAGGACCAGACGCCACGATGACTGCTTTGCAGAAAAATAATAATAATTATTATTATATCTTGATCTTTATTTTCACCTAATCTAAAATCATATCTCTTCTATTGGCTATTCTACCTAAGCGAACGGCTCCTATGATCAAAACGTCAATTGATCCTTATTTCAAAATTCATTTCCATTAAAGACATTTTTGGTGCATTTCTTCCTCCGAAGTCATTGCGAGTTCATATCATGAGTTGTCTTTACGGTTAATGGTTACAGACAACATAGTTATTTTAATTGTGCATTTGCATAAAAAATATTTGTTTGGTGCATTGTTGTCAGTCAATTTTCCTTCTTATGCACTATATGCAGTGAAACCATGTAGGCACTATTATACTCGATTTCTTTGATATTATCCTATATGGTAAATAACATCAACAGAAAATATTGTAATTTCCTTTATACAATGAATAAATATTCTGTGGGCTATTATATAGGCTTTTGAACCTATGTTACAACATGCTTCCAAATTATTAAAGACGAAAATTATTTACATCAGGACTGTTTTTGAATAGAACCAATTAAAATTGAGCATCGATAATTAAATTTTTGGAATACAAAATGTTTCATTTATGTTTTACAGATTTCCGTACTTTATTTTTAAATGCATCCATGTTTTACTGATTCGTGTTCTTGAGACGATTAAAGGAGGACTACATAAAGACAACACAATTTCACATAACCGCTTTTTGATAATACAAATGTGAAAACAGTTGTTTTTTTCTATAAGCTGGACCCCATGCAGGGTCGTCAGTGGTGTAGAATTATAGTACAATTGTGTCATAGAGACGAAGTCCCCCGCATCATCAATGATTTGATTATTTTCAGCGCATTTTCTCATTTATGGGATAAATGCACTATTGTGCTCGCCATGTCCGTCCGTCTGTTTGTCCGTCTGTCGGTCCGTCCGTGACTTCACGTTTTCGATGAGGAGAAAATGCGCTCTCTGTCACTCACTGCAGTGAGTACTGAGTTATATTTTGTATAATGATAATTTGTTTTCATTTTCTTAAGGGTGACCAAGACCCGCGATGCGAGGCGCCGTTCGGAAGCTTCCCAGACCCTGCGCACTGCGACCGCTACACCGCCTGCTGGGACGGCCGGGGCTACACGCAGCAGTGCGGTGACGGCATGGTCTTCAACCCAGTCACCAAGCGCTGTCAGCACGGTCTGCAGTGCCCAGGTGAGGCATGGTCTTCAACCCCGTCACCAAGCGCTGTCAGCACGGTCTGCAGTGCCCAGGTGAGGCGTGGTCTTCAACCCAGTCACCAAGCGCTGTCAGCACTGTCTGCAGTGCCCAGGTGAGGCGTGGTCTTCAGTTATATATTGAATACATTTTCGTTTCACAAAGGGATTTCTTCGTATTTTGACGCTCGAAAAATCTCAAGGAAAATCAATACAAGAAGAGTGCGATACAGAATTACCATCTTTATCTACGTATCCCTATAAAGTTACGCTCTGCGCTGCAGCATCGAACTTGCGCTAAACATCGAACATCCATAGTATTGGATGTTGTACTGGGAAATTACCGTAGAACTAACTCTGCATAAAAACTTTTAATAATTCTCTGTGCCAAATACCACACCAATCTGTGAACAAAATCAATGATTATTGACGCGCGTTTGCCGCGATTATCGCAATAAAAAACAATAAACTTTATCATAAGACCCACGGCATTACGATTTCGTCATAAACTTTAAAATGTGCAGTTCCTCAATCGCTGTTTCGTGTCCGGCCAACATGTTTCCTAGTTTAACAAACGAGATAGAAAACCTTGAGCTGAAAGTGCGCACGCGGTCCGTTGTTGCATACTTTTTCCATCACTTTTTTGATCGATGCTGAAACGTTATTTTTTCTCGTTACCAACGAAAGAAGAGATGCAGGAACACAGGCGTGATTTTAACGGAATCGCCCGCTGCTTCCTCCTGCAAGCTTGTGCAAACACGAGCTTTTTAGGAGATCTCAACGCGCCATAGGTAATGATCTTAACACGACTGAACGGCAGTGGTGGCAGAGTAATGGTTCAACGCTCCGCTGCTCTGTTTGTCACGAAAGTTTAATTAATGGAAACAGAAATGTTATCATGTAGGATTATGAACACAAGCACTTGTGTTAAATATTATTGTGTAATCCAATGTTTTTTAATGATTCTCGCACTTTTCATGACCTCAAAACACTATTTTTTTTCCTCAAGAATCAGTTGTAGCAATTGAATGTTATATAGTAAATATATAATTTATTAAAAAGGTCTCAGTTTCATATTTCCATGAATTCTACGTTATCGCCAAAAAATCGTTATTTTCTCGTTGCCATCATCTGCATGCGGCTCGCAGCTCCTCTGCTCATCCACAGCAAATAACGGACCAGCCTGAGCGCTGGCATCGCCTGTAGACGGAAGTGCTGTACATCAGCCGCTGCTGCTGTGAAGGGCGACACTCAAGTATTGCAACCAAAACACTGGCTGGGCATGAAAATGATTGGACGCGAACTTCATTCATTGTATTTATGACGCTTAAATTTTCCAGCTTGTGGTTAACTTGTATTCATCAGCTGTAGAGGTTCTGCAAACATTATAGCTAATATAAAATGCAGTAACAAATTGGTTAGTGAGAGTCATTAAAAACCAGCTGGACCGCATGGCAGCTTATTATAAAAAAATTAAGTTGGAAAATGTTTATTTTGGAATCAGCATGCATTTCAGTATGGCTAACACAGCGAATCCGTAGGACCGAAACAGCGGTTATGTAAGAAGCATTGCTGCTTCTTATCAGACAGGGTAGCAGAAGTTCAATAGTGTTCTGTGACATTATTTCATTTTGACCGCAGAGTCACAGCGAGATAAACAATAGTTCAGCGAAGTAGACATTAGTTTAGTACGGCTAGAACGTAGTATATAGGTGTGGCAGTAGAGCTGCATTTTAGAGCAATACGGCAATAGAGCAGTGGCTCAGTCGTATTAAATGGCAGTTGAATTGAATGGCGAAACTGCATGTCAGCCAGTCACTTGGACCTGTTTTTATTAGAGAGAATAAGTAGTAACACAGTATAACTGTGGCAAGCCAGTTGTCACGCAGTCCAAAGTCCACTGGAGTGTCAACCCAGTTAGACTGTTAGTGGGAATTCTGAATGACTGTATTAGTCATACTGTATTAGCCCAGCTCAGTCATACTGCGTGGCAGCAGCTCAGTAAAACTGCGAGGCGGCTGCTCTGTTAGACTGTACGTAGGGCAGTAGTTCAGTAGGATAATAAGGCAGCAGTTCAGTAAGAGAAGCTGCAGTTCAGCGTGTGTGCAGAGTTGTCACATGGATGATCTTTAGTTTTTTTTTGCCCAGCGCTGCTGCGGGCTACGAAGGACGAACGATGCACCGATGGACTGAAGGTCAGTCTAGTATTCGGCCTCCTTAATTGCCAACATAGGCTGCTTGGGGTGGTCGGCCGCCGGCGGGTGGCGGCTTCTCGACTATTCTTTCTTTCCTTCTTTCTGTTTTCTTTTTTGTATGTGCAGAGGCGACAGGGCAGGGGATGTCGCATCCTCAGAGTCAAAGGCGTCTGTTGTCTAAAGCTCTAAATCACAAATTAAACGTATGTGCTAATAATTAGCTATGTTATTGACGAGCATGTTCAAGTTAGCGATTCTCGTGTCTTCTTGACATGACATTCATATTTAGTATCACTTTGGTGGAATATTGTTCAGCCCGGTTCGTTGATTTGTATGCGATAGCGATATAATATTTCGATAATATATCCAATCGATATATTTCATCTCACAAATCTGGTATGTTGAGATGGTGTCCGGTATGGATATGTTTAATCTGGTATGCTTGCTAAAATCTGGTGTGTTGATCCGGCAATCTGATATACTCGGCAAAAAAAATTGTTGGCAACGCTTCAGTCACGTCCCGGTCAAAATATCTTTTGCCTTTATCATGGCTGGACCGAGCCTGGCATGGCAGGTGTCTTGCATGGCTGGCACCATTGCTTCTATATAAATGAATTATTTTATACTATTACACTAGACCATGACTGGCATATGCCCGGCAGTGTGGTTTGAACCAAGCCTAAGGTAGTTCTAATATCCAATCGTGGAAAACGCCATTACCAAAGCTCGATCTATTGGCCTGAGTGTCCACTGACACAGCCATGCCTATGAGATCGTTGTTTTTAACGATATCGTTTATATGCCCAGGCCTTCCCCAGGAAATTTTTCGGCCATCACAGAGTCTGCAGGTTGTCGACAGTGGCTACCTCTGCCGTTGGCTGGCAGAGCCCGTCTGGGAATTTCCACCTTGCTGGCACCGGTTGCATAGGTTTTTGCCGTCTTTCTTCTCTTACTTTTTAAAACTGAAAAAAAACTTCCAGGTTCGCTCACATATCTCCAATAATAGTTCAAGGTTTGAACTCTATTTGATTCTAGTCACCCAGTGAGTTGTACATATCACCAAACCTGCTGCTGGACCATTTCATATGCAGCAAGCACTTTGTTCACATTGTTTCTTATACTGTACATTTGTTCTTATACTGTACAGTGAGAGACATTCAAAATTCTTCCAGTATTTAATAATCGAAACATACTGCAACCAATGTAATAATCGAAACATGCTGCAACCAATGTAATAATCGAAACATGCTGCAAACCGCGTTCGTGAACCCAGTGTCTTGCGATAATCGAACAGAACCCGTGTGAACCGCGTCTGGTTCGCAGCACTTCACTTCCTGACCGCCAGGAAGCTGACATCGCAAAGTGCTGCAGTCACTGACCTCCGTGTGAAGCTGTAGACCCTGCCAGTGCATGCTGAGATCAAAGGGCGCTGCTACACATTAAACGCTGGACCATTAGCACCCACTAGACCAACACACTATAAAATTTCGTACGCTAGTCGAATGAACTTCTCTTATCCGTGATACGCCACATGTCAGTCGGATGGTATTCCTCATAAATGAGTCATGAATTAACCGTGCGCTAGTCATGTTGCACTTGCTTATCAGGCACGTTGTAATCTCAGGCTATTCATGTTGCGCATGCGTATTTATCAATCATAAGACACTAGCGTTTCAGTCTTAGGACGTCGCTTATCAGTGATCGGAAGCGTCATGTTTGCGCCCGCGCTTGAAGTTGCAATTAATCCTGCTAGCTCGGCAGCTCATGAGAAGCGACGTGCGTGTTGTATTCTTTTGATTGTCATATTGTTTGTCCTTGAGACTTGCAAGCATTATTACCATTTTCCATCGAGTAACAACGATTAGTTCAACTTTGCTCAAGCTGATCCAGTTTATCGTAGGCGCGTGTAATAAATCGTTGTGTTTGAGCGTAGGTCAACGAAAGCAAAGTCTCGGACGGAAAGAATCTGCGTGATAAACAATTCACAATCTGCGTGATAAACAACAATGACATTCGAAAGCGTTTGTAAAATACATATTATTAAATGTCGAGAAATATTTAAAATTGAGAGAAGAACACGACAAATGCCGCACGTGGAAATGACCGTACCGACTTGACATTAAGAACCATCGAAGCAACTACTTTTGTAAAAATTCGATTTACGAAGAGTAAACGGATCAACTTCAGGAAGTGAAAGCTTACATACCAAGAACTGTACTTTACTCCCTCATAACCGTTGCCGGTTATCACCGTCAGCCGAGCAAAAGGAAAGCCAGATAAGAATTGACCAGCGCTTTTCACGGTCGCCGACATGATTGCTTCCTGAGGGTTGTGCTTAAACGCTGCAGTCGTACGTACTTCCTGTGCTGAGAGTACAGCAAGATATTGTTCCTGTACTGCGAGTACAGCAAGATATTGTTCCTGTGCTGAGAGTACAGCAAGATATTGTTCCTGTACTGCGAGTACAGCAAGATATTGTTCCTGTACTGCGAGTACAGCAAGATATTGTTCCTGTACTGCGAGTACAGCAAGATATTGTTCCTGTACTGCGAGTACAGCAAGATATTGTTCCTGTACTGAGAGTACAGCAAGATATTGTTCCTGTACTGAGAGTACAGCAAGATATTGTTCCTGTACTGCGAGTACAGCAAGATATTGTTCCTGTACTGCGAGTACAGCAAGATATTGTTCCTGTACTGCGAGTACAGCAAGATATTGTTCCTGTGCTGAGAGTACAGCAAGATATTGTTCCTGTACTGAGAGTCTGTCTCTTATACACATCTAGATGTGTATAAGAGACAGCCCCAGGGGTGGGGCAATGGGCCCATTTTGACACTTTTTACAAAATAATGTTTCATTAAAAATTGAATAACTCTATAGGCGCCTAATTCACATCATACATTCCTCATTAGTTGCACCTTTAAACAAAACAAAGAACCACCTCGTATCAATTAAAACTTCGTCAAAATTTTAGTTTAAAAAAAGTGGGGGGCGCGCTGCCCCACGTTACCCTATTGTTCCCGTACTGAGAGTACAGCAAGATATTGTTCCTGTACTGAGAGTACAGCAAGATATTGTTCCTGTACGAGAGTACAGCAAGATATTGTTCTTGTACGCAGAGTATGAAGTGTTAAATTACAAACATAACAAGTGCCGAGTGGTCCTTTTCCTGTGCTATTAGCTCGGTCGGATTTGTCCACTTAAGCTTAGTGCATTGTTTCATATTTTATACACCTACTCGGCGATAATGATTTACTTCTTCTACCGTAATTTTGTTTATTGCTAATTTGCCTGGTCCTAAAATGTACCGAAATAAACAATCACTAAAATCTATAGCTGGAGTAGAGGATGCCTTCATTCGAAGTAGTTTTTTTAATACTAATCAATCTAGATTTGATTAGTGACGAAAAAACGTCTCTCAAATTTGTAAATAAAATAGCATATGCTTTCATTCCAGAGTTTTTTTTTAATACTAATCAATCGAGAGCTGATTAGTGACGAAAAAACGTCTCTCAAATTTGGAGATAAAACAGCATATGTTTTCATTCCAGGACTTCGGTCAGGCGCCCCACCTTCAGGCGAGCTGGTGCGCCTCGTGCAGGGCCTGAACGCCCGTGACGGCCGCCTCACGGTCCTCCACAACGGGCAGTGGGCGTACGTCCTCTCCACGGGCCTGCCTGCAGCCGTCGCCCGTCTTACCTGCCGTCATCTCGGCCACCCAAAGTAAGTAAAGTATTGGGGAATATGGGTTATATTCAGACCATAAAAAATGAAGTATGGAAAATACGGGTTATTTTTGTATACCAAGGGAAGTTGAGTATATGAGATAAGGATTCTTTTTATGTCAAAGTGAGTAAATTAATGAATAAAAGTGAAGTCGGGGTTTAGTTCTAAATTGTAACCGGAATCAAGGAGAACCTACAGCCACGTTGCCGAACAGACAATGATCATCGAATTGCAATGTACTTTATAGAGTATCGGTGCCAACAAATTCTAATTTTTTATAATATTTTGACATTTGACTTCGTATTTTAGTGATAAGCACGTAGCATCAGCATTGAACCTTCAGTCTGAACTGCTCAGCATCGAACCTTCAGTCTGCACTGCTCAGCATTGAACCTTCAGTCGACACTACTCAGCATTGAAAATTCTGTCTTCACTAATCAGCATTGAACTTTCAGTCTGCACTGCTCAGCATTGAACCTTCAGTCTGCACTGCTCAGCATTGAACCTTCAGTCTACACTGCTCAGCATTGAACCTTCAGTCTGCACTGCTCAGCATTGAACCTTCAGTCTGCACTGCTCAGCATTGAACCTTCAGTCTGCTCAGCACTGAACCTTCAGTCTGCTCTGCTCAGCACTGAACCTTCAGTCTACACTGCTCAGCATTGAACCTTCAGTCTGCACTGCTCAGCATTGAACCTTCAGTCTGCACTGCTCAGCATTGAACCTTCAGTCTGCACTGCTCAGCATTGAACCTTCAGTCTGCACTGCTCAGCATTGAACCTTCAGTCTGCACTGCTCAGCATTGAACCTTCAGTCTGCTCTGCTCAGCATTGAACCTTCAGTCTGCACTGCTCAGCATTGAACCTTCAGTCTGCTCTGCTCAGCATTGAACCTTCAGTCTGCTCAGCACGGCCCCGCCTGGAAATATCGCCCAGCGCTGCCCAGTGTGGAAAAAGTTGCTCAGGATAAAGACTTAATGGCGGCAACCGAGCAGTCCAGTGACCTTGGGCGCCTGCGAGTGGTCTTGTTCTGTCCCATGCAATGCACGCGAGCGATCTCACCTCACTTAATTATACTTATCTTATATTACTCATCTTATGTTACTTATCTTATACTACTCATCTTATATTGCTTGTCATATATTACTTATCTTATATCACTTATCTAATATTACTTATCTTATATTTCTTATCTTATATCACTTATATAATATTAATTATATTATATTACTTATCTAATATTACTTATCTTATATCATTTATCTTATATTACTTATCCTATATCACTTAGCTAATATTACTTATCTTATATCACTTAGCTAATAATACTTATCTTATAAGCAAACGCTCGGTGCTCGTGCCATGGTGGAATGTGTTTTAATGTTATCTTGCCGTGCGAAAAATTCGATATTGCAAAACGCTGTTTGTATTTCTTGCAGCTATAACCGTGAAGGTATCCTGCGTAACCATGCAGGTATCCTGCGTAACCATGCAGGTATCCTGCGTAACCATGCAGGTATCCTGCGTAACCATGCAGGTATCCTGCGTAACCATGCAGATATCCTGCATAACCATGCAGGTATCCTGCGTAACCATGCAGATATCCTGCATAACCATGCAGGTATCCTGCGTAACCAGGCAGATATCCTAAAAACATGCAGATATCCTGCGTAACCATGCAGGTATCCTGCGTAACCATGCAGATATCCTAAAAAACATGCAGATATCCTGCGTAACCATGCAGATATCCTGCATGACCATGCAGGTATCCTAAAAACATGCAGATATCCTACATGAGCTCGCAGCCATCCTAAACAACATGCAGAGATCCTGCCTACTTATATCATCGGAGCTGCCGCTGGTCTGCTCCCTTTAGGACGACGTGTGCATCACGTGCGCCATGTAAAGATCACGTAGATGGCGGCGGTGGTGGCGGCGGGTGCTGGATGGTTGGAGGTGGTGGTGGTGGTGGGCGGTCGTAGCGCTGGACGGTGGTGGTAGCGGGGGGAGGGAGGTGGTGGTAGTGAGGAGTATTGATGGTGTTATGGTGGAGGTGGTGTTGGAAGGTGGCGGTGACGTTGACGGTGGTGAAAATCAAGCCTCCGCCTCTTCATTGTGCCGAGATAATTTATCTAAAAATTAATTTTATATTTTGAAGCATTAACGTTTTGTAATTCATTTCCGCGAATATATTCGAAAAAAAGAACGAGTTTGGCTGGCATTCGTCATCAAAAATATTTATTTTAATTTCATTATTTTATACGTTATTTCACTTATATGCAATCTAGCTATATGATTAAAACCATATGATTTTAACAACTGGTAACACTTGCACCAATTACATAATAAACTCCACCAATTACATAATAGGAGAGATAATATACATTCAATGTGTTATTATTTGTTGCCAAACCTCGCCCTTCGACCCGCGAGGTTGCAATTAACATCGCTGCTGGTGCAAACGAGATTTTTGTTGTTATTTCATCTTGACCTTGGCTGCCTAACTTGACCTTGAGTGCTTAACTTGACCTTGGTCACAGAACTTGAATGTTGTGCGCTTAAGTCTGCGCGGGGGCGATCCATTGTTACGCGGGCACTGCTTCGCTCAGTGCGATGCTTAGCCACCATCACTGCATGATGTGCCGCCATCATCACCATCATCACCATCTCCACTTGCTCGCATCATCGTTGTCATCTCAAAGTGTTATTTTCAGTCCGTTGATCTCAACGTTGTTTCACTGCTTCATTGTAATCTATCCCGTTGTTAAAAAAACGTCTCATCGTATAAATGCATAGCTGTTCTCATTGTTACAGCGGCCATTCTCCCGTAAACAGCTGTCTCTGGTCCTCTGTAAATAGAATTGTTGTACTTTAGGTTCTCTCTGTGTAAGAATTGCCAGGAATGTCTATGAGCCATTCTTAAACTCTATTTGAAGAATATTCTGAAATTTGTCTTTTCATTGAATTCTGTAACTTTTAATCGTCGATATTGATTTTATTAAGCAAGCTTTTTATTATGATCGAAAAGCCGATAACTGTGCGTAAAGTTATTTATACTTTCATTAACTATTATATAATTTTTCCCCTTCTAATAATTATTTTATATTATAATATGTACTTCTATTACTGATTTATTATATACTTTATTCTACATTTACCAACTTGACAGATCTCTAGATATTAGCATATCATTGCCCATCATACCTGGGACTCCCATGATATTAAATGCATAAAAATAGCGAGGCTTGGCAATAAAGAACACAAGCCCTTCATGGTGAGACTCTCAGGACTATCTTTTGGTCAGCGATCACAGACATAATTCCTGCCGAGGAAGGAGTGTCCATTGGATGACGCTGCGCATCTCTCAACAACAGACAAAAGCGCGATGGGCTAAATTATGCGTCGCGTAGCTGCGAGACCGCGCTGGTGACATCATCAAGAGAGGCCGAGAAAAACCTGCACAGGGTGCATCAACCTGCAGAAAAGCAATCGAAAAAGTAACGACGATGATGTTAATTTCAGGAAAAAGTTATGTTTTGTTCATCAATGTTATAACACGAGAAAAAATTAATTTGTGATGTCACGAGTGAAAATGTATGAACAGTGAAATTCCGGCGTCGTCCGGTAAGTCAAAAGTCAAAAATATCAACGGAAATAATTTTTTCCTATCACTCCTCTGTTTGAATTAAGATTGAGTTAATACAAACTAATTACCTAATTAATGCTCATGTTTTAGGCTTCCTGATTTATCATATAAGAACGCAAATATCTGTTTTATACAGAGTTGCAGGACAAAACACAGTCGGCGAGTCAGAGAGGAATTAAACCGAATAATAAAAATAAATAAATTTCAGTAAAGAGAAAGATACTAAAAATTCAAGTATTTCCAAGAAAAAAAATCAAATTATTAGCAAAATCCTTTTTTCCTTAGCGTATAACTTTAAGCATGATTGATGATGTCTAAAACATGTCATCGATACTGTGGCGCGCCAATTTACAAATGATTAATGATATCTGTACGTATGCAGTATACACATGCCATCAATACAGCCACATGTGCACAGAACATCATACCCGAACTGTAGGTTGGTGAGAACATTACATGGCATTACGTAACTAGGCCCGCCATGTTTGTTTCGTTGACGCGTACTCTTTTTTTCATCATGGCCATCTTTGGGATCGCATTGCTTCTACGTTTTTGGTCAATTTTATTCGTCTCTTTCAAAAATGACGCGTGAAGCTCTAAGATTTTCATGCATGCATGTCACCGAAATTATTCAAAAAGTCCCTTCACATTATTTTTCATTCACGAATCGAATATTTATGTATTCATTTAGTGTGACTTTATGATTTTAGTGCAAAATTATAAAATGCGGACCTCATGCGACAAGTGTCTTCTCAAAACCGACATGACTTGACGTTCCTCAAAGCCTTGGAACCTATTGACAATAAAGCTGAGCATGAGAAGCAGGCTCGATCGTTTGGGTTCTGCTGTACGTGAGGCTCGATCATGACTTTTCATTTATAGTTCATTTGCATCGGTTATGGAGCCGAAGATTCTTCAACGTGATCATAAAGAAGCGCTTCATGCATTTACGTATCAGAAGGAACGAATAAGCGATCTGTGTGGGGAATTTCTCTCTCCAAACAACGCTCATCAAAGAGGCAAACATTTATCTCAGCTCGGACCCCTAAGGAAATTCTCGATACGCACATTTATATGGCGCAGTCACGCTTTAAGGAGTATTTTTGTAATTAAAAATAACAATGCACGACTGAAGCCGGTACAGCCTTGACACTGAACCTCCTGCTGGCCTTGAAGCCTCGAGTTTGGGTTTTGAGCGTTTGAAACGCAGCGAAGATGGAGTGGTAAAAAAAAATCACGCTTCTCCGAAGGAAAAACCAGTCAGACCAGAGTTGTTAAATTACAATATGGGGATTTGAAGTTCACAAAACAAAAAACAACCGTCCGAAATATAGGAGATAATATTCCAGTACAAAAAATTCAGGCCCCAGGCATGGCAAAGCTATTATGATATGCCCTCTCTGGGTGGTTCAATGTCGGACTTTTTCGAATCTGTAACCAAATTTTTTAGCCTTCCTCCCTTGAAAAAATGATATCCTTGCTATGAGCGCGTTTTTAGAGAAAAATCGGCTTAATGGATGATTCTCCGCCTACGCCGTCCAGCCTCATCCATGTTTATTAATGTTATTTCTAAGCCTGAATTCCTGCGCCGTGGGGCGAGAGACAGAAAAATCGACAAAACTAGGCTCAAAGGCAGCAATGTACGTGTATCTAAATATTCAAATTTATTTTGTAAATGTCTATTGGCGCGCTTTGTCTATGACGCTTTGTCTTTGTCTTTGTCATTTATATTTTGTCTATGTTGAATTAAATGTTACATCAAGTACTGTTCGTTGACCAAAATATGAATCACCAGGTATTATGTCATTATGAGGCATGGAAATGCAATAGGCTGGATTGCTTTGCGAATTAACTTGTGCACTTTAAGATCTTATCTGCCTTAAACTCCCTGCCGTTTATTTCGTTAAAATTGCATATACATTTTTTACAATTAAAAAAAATTGATTTCTAATCATCTATAAATTTTCATAAAAAAATGTTGAGACAAACTTTCCGGCTTCATTCGGAAGCCTCTATGCTGTGAACCAATCCGCATAAGTTCACACCCTCATCCAAGTTAAATAATTCAATTTGATAAGTAAAGTGGTGCATAATTTCCTTTTGTCATCCAGCGCTAATATGAATGGAATGAATTTGATTACTGTAATTCATTGTTTGAAACAGCAAACGTTTTAATAGCCTCCCCACAGGCTCTACGAAACTAAGCAATACCGCCTGCTGGGGCAATTTGGCTGAGCCCAAACCAATTATTTCAAGTTGAAGGCCGTCTTTTTCATTTTATTTAATTCTACATATAATGCACATTCATCTTAAAAACAAAGTATGCACCCAGTGGAATAAGTGGGACATTGTAAAACAATGCACTTTTTGTCCTTGTGCGGACCAGTTTGACCTTTCAAAATCGTATCAGTGCTACGTCCACTTAATGTTCGAGTTGCGGGTGAGACAGTGTGTGTCTTTATTTGGGCAATATGATCTATATATTTGTCTGAGTGCGTGATGGACTTGCTGACATGCAGTATTTTTTGTACAGTGCAGAGAGCAGCAGTCGCGTGGTGCCTCTGAACAGAGGGGCGATGCCCATGGTGGTGATGTCGTGCCCAGACGGTGCCCAGCTCATCACTCAGTGCACGGCCCAGACCTGCACAGACTGTGGTCCCAACTCACCCATTGCAACCATCAGGTAAAGAAATACAACTGAATATTTTTTAATCTTTATTAGGATTAAAATCCTTCATTAAAAATCTTTAAAATCTTCTTTTTAGCACATTTTCTCATTTATGAAAGAAAAATGCATTATTGTGCTCGCCATGTCCGTCTGTCCGTCCGTCCGTCTGTCTGTCCATCCGTGACTCCACGTTTTCATCGACGAGAAAATGCGCTCTTTGTCACTCACTGCAGTGAGTACTGAGCCATATTTTTTAATCTTTAACGCATAGCAGATTATGAATATTAGATTATTTCATATATTTCATGCATCTATTTACTAGCGTGTGTATATATAACGGATAGCATACACTGAGAAATAAATCCTGTATGATTGCTGTATTCTACGGCAGGTGTATGCGGGAGTCGTCGTCGAGGTGTCCTGACGGAGGTGTGGGACGGTGGGAGGCCTGGCGGGGCGCCTGCTACCTCGTGAGCAGCGAGAGCCAACACAGGGGCGACGCGGCGGCAGCCTGTCGCGCCCTCGGGGCGAACCTTGCTGATGTTCAGTCGCAGGTGCGTTGTATAAGTCGGTTTTCGTCAGAGAAATTTATCTTAGCATTAGTTCATTTGTGTATAAATATAATATATCCCCTATATTGTATAAATATAAAATATAAGGTAGTCAATGTATGGTATTCAGGATACTCAATGCGCATGTATCCCGTTTTTATTTTATTGGTTTAGATTTCTGCCAAATTTTATTTAATAATCAGCACATCTTGTAAGGATATAAACTACGAACACTTATCCAGTCTTATTTTTCACACGGAAACGAATAAAGCGATTGCGAACTCGTGTCTAAAATTATTTTCTCACTACTCTCTTAAATCAATAGTGCCTAATAAAAATTAAATAATTTGAAGCGTTTTACCGAAGCTCTTTTTCTGCCGCGATGTTCAGGAGGAGCACGCGTGGTTGTCCGCTCTGCTCAGCGGCGAGCAGAACGCCACTCACTACTACACCGCCGGGCAGCTCGAGTCTGACCTCCAGTGGCGGTGGCGGGAGTCTCGAACACCGCTCACCTACGCCAGGTGGTGGCACGGTGAGTGGCGGTGGCGGGAGTCTTCTTCTCGATAACGGAAATTTATCACTTCTCACAACCACTAAATAGAATAATAGGTAAAAGAATTTACCATCAGAATAGTCATAAGTATGACTCACGTCATACTTATTGCGCGTGACGTGTAGTAGCTTGTTTCACGTGACGTGTTCTTGGCACGGCGGTGGAAACTGTTATTATTAGTATTCCTTCTTCTTGATAACGGAAATTTATTACTTTTTACATCCTCTAAATAGCATACTAGGTAATATAATTTACCATCAGCACCTTACCTATTGCACACTCATAAGTAACCTTCCACCCTCGACCCTCATGACAGGCTGGAACAGCACTGCTGACAGCTCTTTGGCCCCCACGGCGCCCCCCACGGCAACCTGCTTGGTGCTGCGCCACGCCTTCCCTCTGACGCCCTCGTCGACCTCCTCCTCCAGCGCCAGCTTCTTCTTCTTCAGCCCCGAGGACTGCCTGGCCGAGCGCGGGTTTGTCTGCAAGGCCTCCAAGAAGGAAGTTGGTGAGGCGAAATTTTAAAAAATAAAATAAAAAGATTATGCAACACGTTTTTTTCTGAACATTACCAACCTGTGCTTTGGAATGTTTTTATAAGTATCTTTGATATTATTCCCACTGATTTACGACCGCTGATAATCAAACTAAAACAAACTCTGAAATAACACACTGAAATATCACACACACTGATAACACATACACTGAAATATCACACACGCATTCACGTGATAATCATCCAGAAAATTTGTTCAACCATAAGCTCATTATATATCTTGCAAAAATAAAATCATATTAAATTAATTTATATTTTTCATGCCGAAAATATCTCTTTTCTGCCCTAACAGGCTGTCAGAAAGACGCAGAGACAAGCCCATTAATATTTTTCACACTAAACGGATATTTTCCACACTCGAAGTCGTTAATTGAGGTCATCTGCAACAGGTTGCCCGAACGGCGGGGACAAACCCATTAATATTTTCTACGCAAAATGGATATTTTACACACTAAAGGTCCCTAATTGTGGTCTCCAACAGGCTGTCGGGACGGTGCCGGGACAAGTTACGACGGGACCGCCGACATCTCCATCTCAGGCCGGGCCTGCATGCGCTGGGACGACCGCCGTCTCAACAACATCGGGTCCAGCGGCCGCACGGGCCGCTCCAGCGTCCCATTCGACCTGGGACTTCTGGGCCCACATAACTTCTGCAGAAATCCAGACGCGTCCCCGGCCCCGTGGTGCTATGTTGCACCTGATGTCCCTGAGCCTTGTGATGTGCCGCTCTGTGCTTCACAGACGCTCATAACTCAAAGTGAGTGATGTGTGGTGCTATGTTGCACCTGATGTTCCGGAGCCTTGTGATGTGCCGCTCTGTGCATCACAGACGCTCATAACACAAAGAGAGAACTAAGAAGTGTGTAGGGGGGAAGATGATACCTGTTAAACTTGAGTCCCCTTCCATGGCAAAACCATTTTATTTTATCATGATTCCGTTTTTGTCTTTCTTTCATAGTTCACTAAAATCTATATCTACCTTTACGAAATATTATGTACTTTTACCGTTGAATCCTTCACAGCGAACATTTTTTTTTTTTTTTTTTTTTGTTAAACAAAATTTGTCCTGTGCCTCCTAAATGAAAGGGTCTTACCAAAATACACAATTAGGCTATATATGCTTAAAATATATATATCAATTACTGTGATGTACATTAATCAAATTACCATTTAATGAGAGACATTCGTGCGTCTCGCAGGCAGCGCCTCGGTGTCCCAGGGCAGGAGCACTACTGGGTCTTTGCTGCGCCCCTTCCGCCCCACCAGGAGCCCCCCGGGGACGACGAGGGCGCCACTCATCCCCACGTCGTCCATCTTGCCGTCCATCCTCGCCATGATCTCGTCCACCACCACCAGGAGAAGCAACAGGAACGTTAACAACCCTGTCGTCCAGGCGAGCCCTTCGTCGGCTGTCACCAAAGTTAGTTGGGCAGAGTTAGTCATTCATTTATATTAAATTTCCTATTTTATTAATGCAACATAACTGATTTTTATCTATGATCAATAAATCTACATTAGCTCCATTAAATTTATTGAGAGGTGACAGATTTTAACTAAACTTTTTATTTTATTATTGCAGCAAAATTTATTTTTTTTTCATGATCAGTAAATCTACTTTAGAATAAATTGATTGAAATGTGACACCATAAAACCTACCGATACTGACCAGTTTTTCCTTCAATTAATTTGATGATTCTGCATTAATTGAATTCTTCAATTAATATATACTAAGTAGTAATTTCTTGAGCCACAACCAAGCCTCTTTATTAAGCTTCCCGTGTGACGTCCCAGGTTCGCTGTACCGCGTCTCAGCTGCAGTGCGTCAACTCGGACGTCTGCGTGGCCAGGGAGCAGCTCTGCGACGGCGTACGGCAATGCGCACGCGGCGACGATGAAAGGTGTTGTGGGTGTAGCCATCGTGCAGGAGACGTCATATCTAACGCTCTTATGTACACGTATTGTTGCCTGATAACTCGTAGTGGCCTAAGTACACGTAGTGGCTGAAGTGCACGTAACGGCCTAAGAACACAAAGCGGCCTAAGTACACATAGCGACCTGAGAACACGTAGCGGCCTAAGTACACGTAGCGGTCTAAGGACACGTAGCGGCCTTTGTATACGTAGCGGCATAAGTGCACGTAGCGGCCTTAGTATACGTAGTGGCCTAAGTACACGTAGCGGTCTAAGTACACGTAGCGGCCTAAGTACACGGAGCGGCCTAAGAACATGTAGCGGCCCAAGTACAAGTAGCGGCCTAAGTACACGTTGCGGCTTAAGTACACGTAGCGGCCTAAGAACACGTAGCGGTCTAAGTACACGTAGCGGCCTAAGAACACGTAGCGGCCTAAGTACACGTGGCGGCCTAAGTACACGTAACGCCCTAAGTACACGTAGCGGCTTAAATACACGTAGCGGCCTAAGAACACGTAGCGGTCTAAGTACACGTAGCGGCGTAAGAATACGTAGCGGCCTAAGTACACGTAGTTGCCTAAGTACACATAGCGGCCAAAGTACATGTAGCGGCCTCAGTACACGTAACGGCCTAAGTACAAGTATCGGCCTATGTACTCGTAGCGGTCGATTTCTCGTCAGTGATTAGTGAGTTTATTTTGAAAGTCGTCAGTGTGTGACTGATGGAGGTACAAACTCGTAGATATATTTGAAAGTGTGGCCCAAGTTCAGCAAGAGATTATTTCTCCTTTCATCTCTCTTAATTTAATGCTTGTAAATTGTGTTTTTGTGACATGGTGTAGATGAATATCTTTCCACTAGGAGCTCTTTGTTAAAAGTTTTACCTGTTCAAATACAAATTATTTATGCAGTGACGAAAAAAATTAGCTTTTATTCACGATATTAATTCTACATCTGTCAGGACTATAATTACCGGTATTATCTAAAGACGCGTAATATATACTAGGTTTGATAAGTAAATAGGTTCATCGTCAAACAATTTAACAAATTATCTCATAAATATTTATCAGTCTCATATTCACAATGAATTAAAATGTAGTTCTATTGAACTTTGGAAGAACTTTGCAGTCTCTGCAGAAATTTTAAAAGAATCTGAAATAAGTTCCAATTGTTGGCTGCAGAGACAATGATGTTCGATTGATTTTTATAAGAAATTTGTTGAAATAAGTTCCATTTGTTGGCTGCAGAGACAATGATGTTCGATTGATTTTTATAAGAAATTTGTTAAAATAAGTTCCATTTGTTGGCTGCAGAGACAATGATGTTCGATTGATTTTTATAAGAAATTTGTTGAAATAAGTTTTATTTGTTGACTGCAAAGACAATGATGTTCGATTGATTTTATAAGAAATTTGTTGAAATAATTTCCATTTGTTGTCTGCAGAGACAATGATGTTCGATTGATTTTTATAAGAACCTTGTTGAAATAAGTTCTATTTGTTGTCTGCAGAGACTGCAGCAAGTTCCTACGCGGCTTCGAGCAGTTCAAGGGCAGGACTCTGCTGCTGCAGACCGTCACAGAGGACGTGCAGACCAACGACCTGGGCGTGTGTGCCAAACTCTGCCTTGACAGACCGCAGTGTCGGGGCTTCGTTCACAACGCGGCATCTCAACGGTAAGCTGGCCCTAATAAACCTTCTTTACATATAATATTTTTATTGTTTATATTCCTGTACACGAATCTCTATTGATCTCAGTAACAAAATGTTCCTGTGGATGTATTAATAAATAAATAAATAAATAACAATAAAGCCATAACAAATTGTATTAAATAATGGCATTAGGGCAATAATTAGGGCATAATTAAATGGTAAAAAGTTTGTTTCCACGTGAACATGTCACCGAATGTACATATGTTATGCCAGGTGTCAGCTCAATACATTTTCTTTCCCGTAAACATATGGATAAATATCCCAATATTCCACCAGGTGTCAGCTCACCAGGATCGGTGTGGCGTCAGGAGCTCTGAAGTCTTCAGCGAGCGAAACTTTCTACGAGCTGACGTCACGTAAATCATCGTGCGATGGTCGCCTTCTGGTGAGTCAAGTCAACTGTCAAGTGAGTCAAGTCAACTGTCAAGTGAGTCAAGTCAACTATCAAGTGAGTCAAGTCAACTGTCAAGGGAGTCAAGTCAACTATCAAGTGAGTCAAGTCAACTGTCAAGTGAGTCATACCTGGCAACTGTCAAGTGAGTCATGACTGGCAACTGTCAAGTGAGTCATGACTGGCAACTGTCAAGTGAGTCATGACTGGCAACTGTCAAGTGAGTCATGACTGGCAACTGTCAAGTGAGTCATGACTGGCAACTGTCAAGTGAGTCATGACTGGCAACTGTCAAGTGAGTCATGACTGGCAACTGTCAAGTGAGTCATGACTGGTAACTGTCAAGTGAGTCATGACTGACAACTGTCAAGTGAGTCATGACTGGTAACTGTCAAGTGAGTCATGACTGACAACTGTCAAGTGAGTCATGACTGGCAACTGTCAAGTGAGGCTCTGACTGGCAACTGGGTGCTTTCCATAAAAATTTTTGTGCCTTATTTTCCGCGCTTGTCCATTAATGATATTTATTTTTACTTCTCAGAATAATTTCTTTAGATTTAAGTTTCACAATCGGACATAAGTATTTTAACCCGAAAAAATTCCATGTAAACCCCATAAGCTCTCTGAATCCCAAGTTTTCTCACTCACCCTCCCTTTTTACTGCGTTGCTTGCAAGTTTCCTCACTCACCCTCCCTTTTTTACAGCGTTGCTTGCAAGTTTCCTCACTCACCCTCCCTTTTTACTGCGTTGCTTGCAAGTTTCCTCACTCACCCTCCCTTTTATACTGCGTTGCTTGCAAGTTTCCTCACTCACCCTCCCTCTTTACAGCGTTGCTTGCAAGTTTCCTCATTCACCTTTTCTTCTTCCTCGTTTCCCTGCAGTGCGATAATCTACGGTGCGTGCACTCCTCGGCTCGCTGCGACGGCCGCGACGACTGCGGCGACAACAGCGACGAGAAGAACTGCCAGCGTTCCTCCTCTCCGTCCCAACAGTCCCCTCAGTCCCAACAGTCCCAACAGTCCCCTCAGTCCCAACAGTCCCAACAGTCCCCTCAGTCCCCTCAATATAAACTGCGTCTGGTCGGGGGATCAGGGGATCATGAGGGTAACGTGCAGGTCAGTCGTATGAATGATGTGTCAACCGTATGAATGATGTCTCACCCTTATGGATGATGTCTCACCCGTATGAATAATGTCTCATCCGTATGAATGACGTGTCATCCGTATGAATGATGTGTCATCCGTATGAATGATGTGTCATCCGTATGAATGATGTGTCATCCGTATGAAGTGTCATCCGTATGAATGATGTGTCATCCGTATGAAAGATGTTTCATCCGTATGAATGATATGTCATCCGTATGAATTATGTGTCATCCGTATGAATGATGTGTCATCCGTATGAATGATGTTTCATCCGTATGACTGATGTATCATACTTATGAATGATGTTTCATCAGTATGAATGATGTGTCATCCGTATGAACGATGTCTGATCCGTATGAATGAAGTGTCATCCGTATGAACGATGTGTCATCCGTAGGAATGATGTGCTAAGCAATTAATGATCCTTTTCTCATGCCCGTTTTTTAATCCTCTTTGTTTTAATCCCACGTCTCAACTTGAAATATACGTGCTCAAGATGGAAATTTGAACGCTGTTCGTATTTCATCAATACAATCTCTTAACTAATTCTTAAACTGTTAACTTGTTTTAAGCTAACACGTTTTTGGTTTTGGCAAATACTCATTATTAGGCGTAATGACTATTTAAATAGTACAAAATGTTTAATTCACCGTAAAATGTGAACTTGTGAAACTTGTTCTGTCAGCTGCTCGTGAAGGACGAGTGGGGGCACGTCTGCGACGACAGCTTCGGCTGGACGGAGGCGGACAGAATCTGCCGAGACCTCGGCTACCCCGACGCCGCCGCCTACACCAAGAACAACTTCTTCGCGCGCTCCAGGAAAGGTTAGTGACCGATAATATAACATGAATGCAAAATGTGGCCGTCGATTTAAGCAAAATGCAGAGTGTGACTGTCAAATTTAGAGTGTGTGACCGTCAAATGTGGAAGACAAATGTGGAGTGTGGTCTTCAAAATATGACTAGTGGGACACTTTCTATGTAGTAATTATGCTTTTTATTTAGATGTTATTTGCAACGATAAAATTCTTGAACAGAAGCCGCTCGCAGTGGCATCAGGTTTTGGCTGGACGGTGTCACCTGCTCGGGGCAAGAGGAGTCGTTTTTCCAGTGCCACTCCCGGGCCATCGGACGCCACAACTGCGGCACCACGGAGGTCAGTTGCAGGGCCTAATTCATGGAAAATTTTCACCTATTCGCATGAGCATCCACGCCTAAAAAATCAAGTGTAACTCCGAAATTTGTATTTTTCGTGCTAAATTTCATGTATCTGTTTGATCATCTATTTGCAAGAGTATCCACGCCTAAAAATTTGTCTGTAACATCATATATTGGTATTTTTCGCGCTATATATCATGCATTTGTAAGATGTATCATGTAAGTGGCGAAAGCTGGGTATTCAAGCGATTGATGTAACTTAATATTAATATTCAATCAAAGTAAAACAAGCGAGATTACTAACATATATCCTTTTTTATCATGTGTATTTCATTACTTTGCATTCCCTTTAAATACATTCATATTAATTCCTAACTACTAAACCCACTGCCCGTCTGAGCGCAGGTGGCAGGCGTGGTGTGCCGCACAGCGACCTCCACAGCGTGTGGTGCGGGGCAGTTCCAGTGTGGCCGCCAGCCCACCGTGAGCTGCATCAAGCGGGCCGAGGTGTGCGACGGCACACCCCAGTGCCCTGATGGCAGGTGGGGCACGTGGTCTCATTAATGGCATAATATAGTTTAGTATTGTATAGCAAAGCATTGCATGGCATGACATTGCATTGAATTATATAGAATAGCATAGCATAGAGTATCATAGCGCACAGCATAGCCATAGCATTGCGTAGAGTAGCTAAGCATTGTTAAGCATAGTGTAGCATTACATTGAATAGCATAACGTTGTAGAGCATTGCATAGCATTACATAGAATAGCATAGCATTGTACAGCATAGCACAGCATAGCATTGCGAGAACAGACCACGTTTAGTCACGACTTACTATCTAGAACATGGTCTTTTGATCAGATCTTTTCAACACTGACATTGAAATAAATAGCAATTGACTTACTACCATGTCCACATAGGGTGATACTACCGTGTCATTCAGTCTTCATGAGGTGATGAAGATCAGGTGTGCATTAGATGAAAAATAAATAATTATCACCATGAACTTATTTCTATTTTATTAATCGAACATTTTATACTTTAGTTATATGGCGCATTTCACATCCGCTATATAACTATAGTAAGTTATGATGTGGCCAAAGCAAAAGGTATGAAAGGAAGTGAAACTCGTCAAACACGGAACTCTCTATCCATTAAATTTTTTAACCTTGTATACCTATCCAAAAAGATAGTGTTCCAGAAAAATCGTAATTTCCCCTGGGGAAAGTTCGATCCCCAGGGAAATCGAAACATTTTTCTCGGTTTGCGAGCTGAACATTTCCCAAACGTAAGCCACTTGTTGCAGTGACGAGCGGAGGGAGATGTGCGAGGACGTGGGTGTGGTGCGACTGGAGCCTGGCACGACAGTTCGGGCCCGGGGCACCGATGCGCTGGGCACGATATACGTCAAGCACGCGGGCCGCTGGGGCACCGTCTGCGACGACGGCTTCGACAACGCGCATGCCCAGGCGAGTTGTGGCTTACAGGTGTTGTTGTCACGTGAGACTAGCGTGCCTAAATGACGCGTATTAACGTAGGAGCTGATGTCAAGTGAGACTAGCGTGCCTACATGACACGTAGCAATGTAGGAAATGTTGTCACGGGAGACTAGCGTGCCTAAATGACGCGTAGTAACAGTAACATAGGAGCTGTTGTCAAGTGAGGCTAGCGTGCCTACATGACACGTGGCAATGTAGGAGCTGTTGTCACGTGAGACTAGCGTGCCTACATGACACGTAGCAGTGTAGGAATTGTTATCACGTGAGACTAGCGTGCCTACATGGCACGTAGCAATGTAGGAGCTGTTGTCACGTGAGACTAGCGTGCCTACATGACACGTAGCAGTGTAGGAGCTGATATCACTTGAGACTAGCGTGCCTACATGACACGCAGCCACATACACGTAGCAATGTAGGAGCTGTTGTCACGTGAGACTAGCGTGCCCACATGACACGTAGCAATGTAGGAGCTGATATCACGCGAGACTAGCGTGCCTACATCACACATCATGTTAATGTGCAGGTTGTGTGCCGCAGTCTGGGCTATGAAGATGGCTGGGCCATTCCTTACTCAAGAGCCACCCTGGGACGCGGCACTGGAGCGGTAAGTGATATTCCAGTCCTGTTCAACATTGAGGTCGATTCATTTTTTGTATCCAAATATAAAAACAAATGGAATGAAATAGAGCACATTTTAATATATTTTTTTATCGTAACATGGCTATCATGAGCATGGTCGCCGATTGCCAGTGACAAATTAATAGGTGCATGCACCCATTTGAGCTGTTGAAAAGTATACAGGATCTGACATTGCAGGTGCTGGTGAATAAGTTTGGTCTAAAAATTAGGATGATCTGATGAGTGTTTTTGAATAAATTTGAGCTGAATAAGATGATGATCTGACAGGTTCTGGTGGATGAACCGATGTGCCGAGGCACAGAGCAGTCACTCAACGAGTGTCGGGGCATCAACTGGGGAGTGTCTGACTGCGATCACTCGGAGGATGCTGGCGTCTTCTGCTCAGACCCCGTGAGTCCGCTAGACACTGACTTCTGCTTAGACCACATAAGCCCAACTAGACCCTGACTCTTCTGCTTAGACCCCATGAGCCCAACTAGACCCTGACTCTTCTGTTTATACCCCATGAGCCCAACTAGACCCTGACTCTTCTCTTCAGACCCCATGAGCCCAACTAGACCCTGACTCTTCTGTTCAGACCCCATGAGCCCAACTAGACCCTGGCTCTTCTGCGTCTTTAGACCCCATGAGCCCAACTAGACCCTGACTCTTCTGCTTAGATCCGTGATTGGAAATAAACGCTAGCTCTTTTACTCAAACCCAACTAGATTACTTGCACGATTACAGAATCGATAATTTGTCTGGCCCAGCAAGGTTCAATAATATCTTTAATTCGATTTCCCAATATCTGTATCCTGTAATAATACAATACATTAATAATGTTTAATTTTATTTCCGCGTACAGGAGACCATCAGACTGGTAGGAGGGTCAGGCCCGCATCAAGGGCGTGTGGAAGTGAAGCTATCGGGCGTGTGGGGCACGGTCTGCGACGATGACTTTGATGACTACGACGCCTCGGTGAGACTTACCTAACTTTGTACTTGATGATAACTTTTCTTTCCTTTAAAAGTTACAAGTTGCCGAGAGTTTTAATAAAGGTGTTTGCGCTGCTATGTGAACATTAGTTGCTTTATTCTGCCCAAAACTGTGATAATTTCTGCCCAAACTATAATAATTATGCTCTAAACTCTGATAATTGCGGTCAGAAAGTGGCAATTATGCCCTAAACTGTGACTATTGCGCTTAAAATGTGACTATTGTAGCCTAAACTGTGACAATTGATCCCTAATCATTCCCAAATATTCCTTAACTGTGACAATTGCGTTTTCAACTGTGACTATTGCACCCTCAACCGAAACTAAGGTTTGTGTTGTAGGTTGTGTGTCGGTCGTTGGGCTACAGTCATGGCGGCATCGCCCACAAGATTGTAATCATCGCCCAAGATTATAATCATTTGTTTGTGTTGTATCCATCATCGCCCAAGATTATAATCATTTGTTTGTGTTGTATCCATCATCGCCCAAGATTATAATCTTGAGCGATATATCCATCATCAACCATCGCCCAAGATTATAATCATTTGTTTGTGTTGTATCCATCATCGCCCAAGATTATAATCATTTGTTTGTGTTGTANGTCTCCTGCTATACTGACAGGTGCGTGTGAGGGTGGAAGACGGGGCGTTTCCTGCTATACTGACAGGTGCGTGTGAGGGTGGAAGACGGGGGCATCTCCTGCTATACTGACAGGTGCGTGTGAGGGTGGAAGACGAGGGGGTAACCTGGTTCACTAGAAGACTTGTGCGTCTGATTTGGTTGGCCAGGGTAGCAGCGAATGTCTCTGTGTTCCCTGATCGGAACACGTAACAAAAAGTTAGGTTTCAACGTGCATTTGGTCCCGTTCTTTTCTTTTACTTAATTCACTTGAGGTTTATAAGCTTAAACAACATTTTGAAATAACAAAAACATGTTGCAGGCGAGCCCGCACTCTGGACCTGCAGGCGGTGTCGACACGGTTGTCGTCTGCGTGTGGGCGCGCAGCTCCCGCAGGCAGTTTTGTCACTGAAAACCTCGCGAAGATCGTGGGCGGCCGCATTATTTCCCCCCGCGAGACTCCCTGGTCTGTCTCGCTCATGATCCGAGAAGGGGTGAGTTTTACACCATTGTTAGTAGTTAAAAACTTAAAGCTACAATGATATTTAGGTTTTGAAACGCCCAGTAATTAAGCAATAATCAGTTTTCATTCAATTTAATTGCCTCACTAACAAACTTTAACTGCATTGACTCCATGTGTTGGTAAATATCGTGTTGCTTTAATATTTCCCTGCAATCAAGCGCACTATCAGCTGAGACATAAATAAATCCCATTGTGCATGCCGCTAATTTAATAAAAACACATCCAATAGTTGGATTCTGCGCAATCTTCGGTATTCCAATAGTTTTATTATATGCAATCCATGGTAGTCCAATAGCTGAATAAATCTTAATTGACCTATTTCAAACTGCATTACATATAAGCCCTGGTATGCCTATACCTGGATCACACGTAATTCCCTTTCATTTACGGCATTGTCGGTGCAGAACAAACTGCGCCACAACTGCGGCGGCGTAATCATCTCCGAGGACCTTATCCTGACGGCGGCGCACTGCTTCAAGAAGCATCCTAAGCAGAACTACGTCATCAGGGTCGGTGAACACGACCTGCTTGCCGAGGACCAGGGCCAGAAGGTGGGTCACAAAAAGCATTTACACACTCATAAAAATATTTTGAATGTAATCAGTTTGATACCGAGAAAAATATTTTGAATTTTGGAATTGCGAACACCACCTCCGCCGTCCTGGCCGAGGACCAAGGACCATTGCCGAAAGCTGAGCAAAAATGAACGTTTTCCCGCTTTTATGAATATTTGAATTATAATCAATTTGATAACAATAAATATTATCTTCAGTTCTCGAATAATTATTCACTGAAGATGAGTGAAGAACAAGAAACGTTTCCAACATCCCGCTTATGAAAATTCTCTTGAACAGTAATCAGGTCGATAGTTTGATACCAACAAAAATATCTCCAGTTTTTCGCAAACTCTTTACTTGAGATATTTTTATTTAAGTAATAACTCGATACGCATTTGGAAGTCATTGTCCGTAACATTTATTAATTTGCAAGTCATATTTATAGCTAGTAATGACTTGATTGGACAACATTAATATTCGTTGAAAAAATATGTTTAAAATGTGTAATTGCCGCTGACAGGACTACCTTATTGACAAGCTGTGGGTACACGACGAGTTCGACACCAACATCGAGTTCAACAACGACATCGCTGTGCTCAAAGTGATGAAAGTCAACGGCAGGGCATTACAGTGAGTGCGATGAGCATGATAAAAGTTTTGAAAGTCACCACCAGAATCTTATAATGATTGCGGTATTAATCAGTAAGGTTTTATTTCAATTCTGCCTCATACGTAGCCATGTTCGTAAGAGGCAGAATTTACATAAACAATCTTCCTTGATACGGCTTTAATCCCATTGTTTTAAACCAATAAAAATTGAAATTCTTCATTATTATACATTTGCCTACATTTCTTGACTTGAAGAACAAATTCCACGGAACAATAAAGTGGCCCAGTGGTTAAAGTTCAGAGTACCAGGATTGAAGCAGAGAGGTGGGGGTTCGATCCCAGCTCTGTGCGCCAGTTTCTGGTCAGAATCGGCAAAGAGGCTGAGAGGTTAAGCCAAAAAAAATTGAAACAGTGAGTTGCGAGTTCGAGCCGGCAACAAGCTGTGGATGTTCTGCGCTGTTAAGAATCGGCGACAGGCCTACGGCCTTATAAACGTTAAGACCGCTATATTATTACATTATGTGGACCATTGCAGGCTGGGCAACGGGGTGGTGGAGGCCGTGTGTCTGCCGGCTGGGGAGGAGCGCAACAAAGATCTGCGGGGCTGCAGCATCACAGGCTGGGGGACGCTCACAGAGAACGCCCCTGCCGTGCCTCAGGTCAGGGGGGATTTAATCCTCTACGTGCCTTCTTAAAGGATTGTGTCCTCGTGATATGGGTTATAAGGAATTAAACATACCTGCATGCAAGGGGAATAATTTCTCGGGCTAATTTTTTATTCCAAGAACTATACGTATTTGCAATGTCATGTAGGTAAACTATCACACGTAGTTCAAGTTTATTGACCGTTATAGGGAAAATTGGCAGGTTATTTAATTCCGAAAGCAATTCCAACGATTACAGAGACTAAGAGGGCTGAAATAGCCCCGCTGGAGAGCGAAAAGTTTTCGTGTTTTGCAGTTTGTGAGATGTGGTACTTACCGGATACTAAATACCTGCACAATGTGCCACTATCTGCTTGTTGATGAATTAATAATTTTGAGCTTTCCTCAGAATTATATTGCTCTTTTAACACGAAAAAACAATAGAAAATTGGAGCAAAAAAATTGAATTTTTGTCCGGTATTATATGGTATTTGTCCGTTATCATTTTTTATTTTATCCGTTTTTATGAATTTTATGGCATAGAATTAATTATTACAAAAATGAAATATTTTATGATGTCGTGGCGCAGAGGCTACCGCGGGTGGGCGGCGTTGAGATCTACGACATGGCGACGTGTACGACATCGAGCGGCTACGGCAGATTTGAGGTTACGTCAGGCATGACGTGCGCCGGTCGTCTTGACGGTCGCGTGGACACGTGTACTGGTGACAGCGGTGGCCCTCTCACGTGCATCGTGAACGGCAGACACGTGCTTTACGGCATCACGTCGTGGGGCAAAGGGTGTGGGCAGAGAGGCAAGCCTGGCATGTACACTAAAGTCACCAAGTTCCTCAGATGGTTGAATCAATTTGTTAGCTAAGTTAGAGCGTGTAATATTTTTCAGCCTTACTTGGTTTCTGGGCACGAAAATGACTTTTTCAACGCACGGGAACCGGAACTCGTGTATTTCTCTCTTACAGAGAGTCCAACAAACAACTTATTTTATGTATTAGTTTTTTCTAAGATTGCCCTTGCCCCAGTGGCAGAACAGTAAGAACTTAGTATTGTCACGCAGTTTTCGTGAAAAAAAAATGCTCGAGGTTCCATACTTTTATGTTACCACAATAACATGTCTCCATTCCATTGTTATTTTCCGTTATCTTTCTATGAACATTTATGACGAACGTCCGCGGCCATGGTGGCTCCAGCTCGCATATCATCAAGCGTCAAGATACAAATCATCTTAAAATGTGATATTCTTGATGCTCACACGCGGATGCTTTGTAAAAAGACTGTCATAAAGCCATAAGTCTCTCCGTCTCTCGTCACATTAAAGTGTAAATAAAATATGTACATCTTGTACCGGTGTAAGCATTCCAGCATCTGTAGCCGCAAGATCCAGCGTGGTATAGACTTCGGTTTTCCATTTAATAAAATCGTTTATACTAATTGTCCGGAGGTCCGCGATTTCGATGTCATCGTCAACGGTTATCGTCTTGCCATGTCAAAATCATCTTGCACTCGCATTCAAGACCGCTTAAAGCGATTAATTTGGCAATACTGATTATTATATCATAATGTGATCATATTTCCTTGAGATCATAGTGTAACTTTCAAAAATGTTTATATGTGGCATGTATATTTTTCGGCATCCAAATCTGGAATGGCTCGTAAATTTATTTGCACTATTGTGAGATTCAAGTGAAAAGCTATTCTCTATAGAGATACTATCAAGCCCAACAATAGCTTATTTGCTCACTTGCACCATTCATTGTACCCCCAGCGCTGTTATAAGAAGCGACAGTACGCCCACCTTCATTTACGTAACAACTGTCAGAAAATCTTCATGAAATTGTCGAAAATGACACAGCCTCACAGGATACGATCTCATGGATGAACTGAAGCCTTCGGTCACGTTCAAAACAAATGTATTGCCGACCATTCATGAGGATTTGTCATTACAATTTTTTGCATATTGATTGAAACTGCTATCCGTGTTTAGCGAGCAGTAATTGTTGATGCTTTGTATTTGTATAAATTATAACATAGAGTCAGTAGGAGATGTAAAAAAATGAATTTCCGGAACAAAACATTTTTCACGAAATGTTTTCATACAGAAGTACGACGAGAAATTTCAGAAATCATTTTTTGTATTTCAGATAAATGAAAAATATAATAATTGACGTTTGCTTTGATTCTAGAACATTTCAAAATCCAAATGTCGCATCGCTGTTAAATCTCATGCTTCGAATTTTGGTTTTCTTCTAACGATATTAGATTGAAGAGTGACTCAATTTTATGTCATTCAATAGTTAACGAAGCATTAACGCCAGCTATTCATCCAGTCCCGATCCATCACATGTTGCGTTGTATTCAACATTCATCGACTTCTTCCACTGAATCTGGACACGCTTCTATGGCTTATATTTGAAGTTATTTCCTAAACAATGTTCTTAAATTTAATTATTTATGTACTTAATTCTTTTTTTCAACAGCATTCAACTCCAAGTCGTCCGTACCTTATTTGTAAAGTTTTAATTCAGAGCGCAGAATCCGCAAACTGGTCGGGTTGATTCGCATTTGTATCATCAATGAATATTTATCAGGCTTTGTGATGGGAACAGATTATAAGCGCCATCTTTACAGTTCCGATAATAAAGGAAGTTAACCTAACTGTGCAGATTATGATTATGTTTCTGATTTAATAAGTTATACATATATCACAGCTCAATCTGAAGCGAGATAGCCCGACTGAAGTATGCATGTTGTTAAATTTTGTGTTAACATGTCGCTAAACCTTATTAATGATCAAAATTCATAAGTTTCATTTTAGAAAACTGAAATCGTCCGAAAAAAAGTTGCTGTAAGGCTGCAAGCAGTTTTTGGATTCAGTAAATTATGTTTAAGGCCCAGAATCTAGGCTGTAGCAGAGGGCATTTGTTGTTAAGTTTGTATGGTGCGCAGTTGTGATAATAAAACATTCAACCTTTGTCTGTGTATTTTAATTGCAAGAACTTTCAAACGGTGTACTGAAACTCACAATAGTAGCTTATAACAATTTATTCAGTACATTACTGCGTTAAAAATAACGTTTGGAAAGCACCATCACCATAGTACATCAAGCAAGACACATTACAACACATCTAAACTAATTTTAATAATAAACATGAATGCTGATTCCTGATGAAGGAAGAGTAACCAGTTGGCTCATGGAGGAGAGACTGGCACAGAGAGGAGAGGCTGGCTATTGGTGCAGACATCCAGTCCGGTTATAGCAACTGCTTTTCGTATAGGCATACCACTTCGCCTTGCGGGTCTGAGTGGCGCAAATATTTGGTCGCAGACTCGAGTTCCTGCAAAAAATAACAAGTTCTGTATCATCTGTTCAAATGTGGTCTGCGTGGTAAAGTTTACGTTCCGCTAATAAAAGCATCTTCACTCCTATATATGAACAATTGTTCGTTTTATGCCATTGGTCTTTCACTTAGGTTTGCGGTCGTAGTTTCGAACTTCAATTAACTCAAATGAATTATTAATGTCCATCATTTAACAACCTGATGAAAAATTTAATCGTAGTGATGATAAATCTGAAATTCTATCACATATGAATATCAGCACTTACACATTGACCCCAAAAAGGTTAATCAGAATCAGGGGGTTGCGGAGGTTCAACATGGGCTGCTGTAGATGGGAGTTGAACAGTGGGCCATGTAGCGTGGTATATCTCCGCATCCTGCTGTCCCACACTCCGCGTAGCTGATGTGGCAAGAGGGTTCCATTAACACGTTGACTCCGAAGTGGTACATATGCGTACCACGAAATTTATTTCTCCAGGACGTAGTGGTACAAATATTTCTCCAGGACATGGCCTAAAAAACAGCAAAGTCCGCGAACAAAAAATGCCAAAAAAAACTATAACTCAACAGATACTAGTATATATGTAGGTTCCAGGGTAAAAATTCCATTCTTTTCTTTTTTTTAATTAGGAAGTATCCCTGTCAAAATTTTCAGCCTACCAACGCAATTAAAAATACTAAATCGCGGAATTTGTCCGGAAAAAATGCCGTCTGGCAATCCTGTTACATGAAAGTAATAAAATAAAATAATAGCACAAGATGAAGCAATAGAAGACAGCGTGTTCAATTGCTGTAAGGAAATGCTCTAATATTGCATCATTATAGGATTTCATCAGGGTATATTGCAAATATTTGGAGAGAAGTAACGGCATTTCCAATTATCAGCTTTAGAATAGTTCCACCGGGGCCGTAATAGTTTTTAAAAGCGAGTTGTTCTCCTCTACACCAGAGCAGCTCGCATGCACACTTGCACATTCAACAACACACAAGCACAGCAAACAATGCACAGCACCACATCAGCGCCAACAGCGCACCGCAGCACAGCACCAGCACAGCCAACAGTACAGGCGGTTACCTGGAGCTGCTGAAGGAGACAGGAGCTGCATTGCAAGGCAGCAGCGCAGGGTCGCGAGTGCTCAGGCCGGCGTACGGCCACGACTGCCAACGACGAACAGAATCATTACATTCATATATTGCACACCAGTCATGTATGTTTACATTCATGTAAATACATTGCTAACTTATTCAACTCATTTTAATTCGAGATGAATCAAATATTTCAAGTTGCATTTCAGGTACTGAAAACTGAGCAAATGTGTGAAGGAATATGTCGAGACTTCCAAAACTTGTGTACTCCTCGTGCTGAGTCACTCACGAGACGCGCGTCGTACTGCGCCGTGTTGTGGGTGGGGTCGGTGAGCACACCGCGCAGGTGGGCGATGTATGAGGCTGCAAGGCGGAGGGTATCCAGCTTGGAGAGCTTCGTGTCAGGGGGCACCCACGGCAGCGTCGTCTTCAGGCGGCAGAACGCTCTGCAGTGGCGGCAGGAATAAAGGACATTATCGTGTGGGACACTGTCATCAAAAGGGTGGGGCTGCTGTGTGTTCTTAATCTACGGGTAGGTGATGAGGGTTTTAACAGAGAACTATTAAATGGGCTAAATGAGTTCCATGTCAAACTAATTGGTTTGACGAAGATTTGCATAAAGGTTGCCAATATTACTTTTTCTTTTTTGAGAGTTTCTGGAATCCGAAAAAAGAGCATTTTGCAAGGTAATATTTTGAATATGTGTTTCTGACACGTAAAACATCACATATATTATTATGATCAAATTTTCTGCGTCTTTCACAACCCGTTTATACTCAAAGCGTCTCATGTAATGACAAAACTTGAATTAATTTTTAATTGCAATTAAATTTGTCTTTAAAACCAACAATTCACTTGGAGTCACGATTAAAATAATCGAAATAAATTTGCTTCGCGGTCATACAAACCTTGATACGCTCGCGTTATACTACAAAAAAAAGGTAATTTAACTCAACCGATGAAAACATTCCCTCTGCCTCTTCCGGAAGGTATTTTTTCTATCCTGTGAAAAACCAAGTTCACCCAGGCTCTCCACTTTCCTTTCAGGCTTTCCACTACTGCCGTAGTGAAGATCCAAAAATACATGCTCACCTAATTTTTGCGTTCTCCAGAAGACATCGACTGACTTAGTGGCTATGAATGATCACCAAAGCGCCGCATTCTCCAGAAGCCTATTGACCCACCCAGTTGAGATGCATGCTCACCCAGGCTCTGCGTTCTCCACACAACCACCACCTCACCTCGCCAGGATGCGCATGCGGGTTCTCTCCCTGGCGTTGGCGGCGTTGCGCTGTACGGGCTTCTCCCGACGCCCAGACTTGCCGCCCTGCATGTCGTCCGGATTTTCTGGCTGCTGTCGCTGCTGGTTTCGGTTCCGAGAATTACGAGGTCGTCGTGGCATTTCCTACCTCATGCGTCGTATGCATAATTTAAGGCGGCATAAAGAATTTTAAAAATTTAACCGCACTGACGTACCAAAAACCGCGCTAACGTCGAACAGAGTAATAAGAAAAAGATTCATCAGAACATAATGCACTTCAATTGGGATTTCGCAAAATAATGTACGAATGAAAAATGAGAAGCGATCAGAAAGTAAAGGATTATCGATGCTTTATAGGCCTATCTCACTGCGCAACTGTGATCGGATAGATTCGGCTTGAATAGAATCTGCCTTTGCAGGTAAGAAATAGCTTGTTCTTTATTAAGACTTGTATGAATTTTCTTTACTCTCTGGCACTGATCATCAATTTCCTAGAACAAAATCTTCGTTCGTTCGATGCAGTCCTTGTATCTGGGTAAGAATGGTGGAAATATTGTACTAATTAGTGTATTGCAAGCCTTTTGCTTTAAACTCAGATATTCTCAGTACAGTATTATCGCCAATATTATTTATCGACAAAATTAATATTACAAGGGAGAGTAAATATCAGTGGCTCTTATTCGTTACAATATTTCGAAGTAAGTTCCGTATAAAATTGCCTCTCATTTAATGGAAAATGAGATGTGACAGTAAAATATCGCCACGAAACGCTGTTTAAAGAGCTTTAAGAGAGACAGAGACACTTACTGCACTCCAGACACTTCAAATTGCACTAAGTGTTCTGACAGACATCTACATAAAATATGTGAGTTAAAGACCAGATGAGGGTATAACCGCCTGGTATTGGGTGTTGTCGTGAGGGCTGACCAATGAGGGAAGCCCTTACTCGTATGGGCGTGTCTTAACTCAACCAATGAACGAGAAGCACTTCACAAAATCTTCAGGTAAATAAGAGGACGAGCTTCTTAAAATATTTGCATACTGAAACTTAGGACAACAAATCAAAGCAAAAGATAATGAGCGGAGAAAACAATACTCCGACAGTATCGTAAACTTGCTGCTTTCCTAGGTTCTTATTCCTTTTGAAAAAGAATAACATACAATTCTAATTGAAATATTCCCATGGGGGAGGAATATTTAGAATTAACAAAATCAACTTTTGCTGTAGATTTAACTCCAATATATATACCCTCCCTCTATCGTCCCGACATGGGTGCCAGGTGGTAGCAGCTGTAGCGGCGCCCGAGTTTTACAGGCTCTTCGACAATCAGTTTTTTTTATGGGACTTTTTCTTCCGCATCTTTAACCATTTAATAATCAATGGGAATATTTTATTTTCATTGATTGCGATTTTCTATTGCAAACATTTTCGTTTTGAAAGAAGCACAGCAATAACAGCTGCATGTCGTAAATTAATAATAGTTAATTAGCATAAAAATTTGCAATTTTTAATTTAAAAATTTAATGCACAGAGGTCATGGATAAACATTATTCCCAGGAAAGTAAATAATTTCGCATCTTATACAAAGCACGGAAGGTAAAAAATTTCAGTAGCTAGTTTTCATAAGCAGGTAAAAGGAGACGGAAAAGAAGATGTCAGTTCTTGTCGAAAACCAAGTCAGCCGGTAAAGAACCGACAATGTGTGCCACTCAAAGCATGGTAAAGAACCCGACAGTTCTTCTCACAGAAAGGAAATTCTCGGACGGAAAATGCCGCGTCATGCAAGGGTTAGCGGCCGCCGATGCCTGACACTTCACACCCTCGATACATCGACACCCGCCGTGCTCGCCTTGCCCTCTAATTTTCCGTAGCCCATCATGAAAATTTCATCTTCGATTGATTTGAATTTTGATTTTAAACATAAACAAAAATTAATTTTTACGAGTTATTCATTTACCTAAAAGTATATTTATTATCTTTAGGAGTGAAATTATCTAATTTCAAATGACATTCATGTCGCCGATTGTCATCAACCCTCGATGGGAATATTTCGACCTGCGCAGTTTTGAATTTATCATCTGCATTTACTCTCTGAAGTATCTAAGTTTCCACTAATGTAATTTAGAAGTTAGTTGAGAACGAATGTAGTAGATCACGTAAATTCGTTGACATTTTTAGCTGGTACGATACTCAGAAAAAATGCTCAATAGTAGTTCAGCTAGCTTTGGAACAAGGTTCAGCTTACTGAAAAAAGATAGCGATAGCAAGAACGCGCCAATTACTGATAATATATTATTTCAGCCTATTTTTCTAAATATTTTTTACGAAAAATTTTCAAGCATCGATTATTTGACTTGTATATTATAACTCATTATAGGAACTAAACGAACTACAGCAAAATCCCAACAAGAAGCGAGCACAAATCAGCGGAAGAAGAATGCACGCAACCTGAGAGGCGCTGCGAGAGGCTCTCAGCGCCCCGGTGTTTGGCGCTAAGAAAAACATCCCAACATTTGCTGCTGATCTCAGCTACAACAACACACTTAAATGACAGCCCTACGCACTCAAAATATCAATGGAAAACTATTTAAAGTGAGTACATAATACATGGCGAGAAATTAATGTTTTTTGCAAGCTAAAATTAATACTCGCTTCTTCTTATCCATATAATATAAAACATCGTCTGTGCCTCAGTCTAAAATATAATGACGGACAACAAAATTTTATTTATGTTCATCTGACTCTCCCTCTTTATCCCTTGTATCATCAAGGTCGTTGGTGCAAATTTGTACGAGACTCTTCTCAAACTCAATGTATTCTTTACGATAAATTTTTCATGATTCTAATCGTTCCTAAATTTAGCAGAAATTAATTATTTTCTTCAGCTATTGTTAAAAATAATGCCTGGGTGTCATTTAAGAAGAGGAAGAGAGACAGAAAGCTGCCCGACAAGGGCGAAACGAGCGTACATGTCAGAGCCGCGCCGCTCTGCGCTATGGACGTGACGCTGCACTTTACACAACGACACGTAGCACTTTTTAATGCATTTTTTTCATTTATGTAAAAAAGGCGCTATTGTGCTCGCCATGTCCGTCTGTCCGTCCGTCTGTCCGTCCGTCTGTCTGTCTGTCTGTCTGTCTGTCTGTCCGTAACTTCACGTTTTCGTCGCCGATAAAATGCGCTCTCTGTCACTCACTGCTGTGAGAACTGAGTTATATTTTTTGATGCTCGGTGTGAATGCCCAGGCGTCAGTAATATCTTTCATAAAGCATTAGAAAATCATTCATGTAGACTAAATTAAGGATGCATCGATTCGAAAATGTATGAACATGTAAAGAACTTCAACAAATGCCTCAAACAATACGGAGAAATCTTCGCAGATGACTCGCACTCAAAGCGTATCATAGTCGCTCAGTGTCAAGGAGAAAAACTCAATTAAATTTCAGGGTCCTTTATAAATTAATCTCGGAGGTTATTTCTGAAAATATGAAAATTTCTACTTTGGTTAGAGCCATATATTACTAATGACTTGTTTTTTCATGATAATATTGTGCTATTTATGATTAATAACGAAGAATGCATCACTAAATTCAACAGGATGATTAGTGCACTGCATGTGACAAACATTTGAACGATTATGTCAACTCATAAATAAAATCTATCGTCGAAACTGAATGGCAACCTCGGAAAAAATATTGAATTAACATAAGTAAAGGTAAATTAGTGAATAAGTCATTGTGCAAAGAAATGATCGCTCAGGTTTTTTAAAAACTTTCTTCTTCAACTTACTGTACATTAATGAAGTAGGTTTAGATTCAATATTAATTGTAGACAGGAAATCTTATTTAATTTCCATTTTTTTCAAGGTTAGAACGATAAATTTGTAGCAGTTTACTTAATACAGGGTCTAACATCAATCAAAATGCAAAGATTTGTCAGACTTAAATTTATGTATTTTTTGTAAGTGAAAACTTCATCTTGCAATATGTCTATTCATTTGGACGAGATTAATAGGCAATCATATATAAACTCATTAACTGCTTCATTTATACCTTATCGCAAAAAATACATCAAATTCCTATGAGCAAAATTTCAATTTCTATGTTACATTTACAGTGAAAGGGTTTTTCCTTTTACTAACGAAGAAATCCTTATGCGTCCCTCATGAGTTCGCAAGAATGCACTAGAGGCCGCGCACTGGAGTCTCCGAAGAACGATGTCCTAGGGAAGCTTCAAGATTGAGACTCAAGACTGTTGTGACCTGAAGAGGCATTATTTACAAGTCCGTGACCCAAAGGAGTGACTTCGGTAGAGAAGTCACCTTGAGGAGCTTCAGTTAACAGGCCAGCATCTGCAGGAATGATCCATTCAGAGCCGTAACCTGTACGGGTGTCACCAGCAGGGGCTTGAACCGAAAGGCTGTGACCTACAGAAGCGTCACCCGCAGTATTACCAGCTAATAATGAGTTACTTGAAGGACTTTGCTGAGGATCTGTTGAAGGAACATCCTCAGCAGTAACATGCCCTACAGAGACGTCCTCCACAGGACTTCGTTCCTCAGGAGGCAGACCAGTTGCAGACTCTATGTTATCGTGGCTTTCTGTGTTCGGTCGACTGCGAGAAGGGATTTCATACGCGTTTGATGAAGCAGATGTTTTCCATGAAGCCTTGGAATGGTTTTGTGATGAAAATAAATCTAAATTCAATAAAAGATTACTTCCTCTTGTCCATATATTTTGCGGGAAACCTGGCGGGTGTGCTAAATTGAACGCAAGAATATCAGTTTTTCGCTTTTTCTTAGCTGCTCCGCTCGCCGAAATAGCCGCTGGACCATCGCTAGGCAGGTAAACCTCATTTAATTCTGAATTTTCAACCTGCCATAAATCCAAGGTTTCTGTCGTTGGGGCAGTTAATCTTTCAGACTCTAGTCCTGCATTTTGGGAAACATGATGGGTAGCTGGGTCTTCCACAGGCACGGGATCCGGCAAACTAATACTTGGCGTTTCTCTTTGTTGCTCTATTCTTTCGGAATAGCTTTGGTTCAGAGCATCTGTGGTGTCATTCGCTGCAAGTAAGTACTTATGACGTGCATGACTTGATGTGTAATCTTGTTCAGGCCCAAAAGCGACTTCTCCTTGCGCCGGTCCGTCGCTAAGTACCGCCAGATTCTTTGTCTCAGGACGAGGTTGCAGCTTTATATCTTTTCCAGTTGATGAGCCAATTTGCACGTTATTATCACCATTTTCCGTGTTCTGTACGATAACATTATCCTCATTTTCGTCTCTCTTATGCGCCGGTATCGCCGCCATTACAGTCGGCCGTTGCAAGAGATACTCAACTCTTCTAGGTGGCTCAGAGGCCGGTATTGTCTTGTAGATCTCATCCAAGGGACGAACTGCGCCCAGCGTTGGGTCAAACGGTGAATATAACTCAATATTCTCAGTTAAGCTGTCTTCTGGATTCCAAGTTTCATCCGTTAGAAGCGTCGCTGCTCCGTAGCCTTCGCTGTCGAATAATTTAGGGTGCGGAGCCTTGCCTGGTCTCAAGCTCACGATCGCATTCTCAGCTGCATTTAGCTGGTGCTCGCTGCTGCTGAAGATGCTTGTGCTGTATGCATCTGATCTGTTAGGTTATAAATCAAATAGCCATTTCACCAATAATAATAGCCATTAATGTTTTAGCTATTCATACACACAATATATGTCAATAATTCCTGCTTGTTATTATCACCGAAATTATGCCAAAGCAGCACGATAAGCATTTGATGGTAGAAACAGTAAACAAATATATTAAGGGTATTTGTACCACATTTTTCTATCAAAATATGCAATTTCAGTGCGAGTAAATTGTGATGAGAAATGCCCGACCTGTCGAAGCGCTGCTGCAGCGCCGTGACGTCGAGCTTGAGGTCGGCGAGGACCTCGAGCACGAAGTTGAGGGCCTCGCTGCTACCCTCGCCGCGCTCCCCTCGCAGCCCTCGTACGCCATCGCGTCCCGGCGCCCCTGGAGGGCCCTGAGTCACGCAAAATGGTTTAACATGTTTTTCTTCTGTTGCTAATGCTTTATATCACTCATTTATAATCGCTTTCGTTAATGTAAATCATAGTGGCTGAAAAAACATCCATCGAATTAAGAAAAAATATTGACTCACAATAGGTCCCCGCCTACAGCGGCAGAAGCTCCTCTGGTGGGGCTCGCCAATCACCGTCCAGGAGTCCAGAGGGAAGTCGTCGCTGTTGTCGATGAGGTTATCTTCCACCCGACCTAACGACCCAGACTGCGGGACCACAGACGGACCCGCACTACCTGGTGGACCCGCATTGCCTGGCGGACCCGCATTGCCTGGCGGACCCGCATTGCCTGCAATTTAGAAGCTTGCAAACTCCTGACCCTTGACGGGTCTGGATGTTACGTTAGCTCGGGTCAAAATGCTCGAGAAACCCGTACGTAAACGTTTAGGGAAAAGCTGCACATAAAGCCTCTGAGCGACGTTTACATGCAGTATTTCAATACGCTATTTATACCCAATTATTGACAGTTAGAAAGGCAATTTGACGTTAATTGAATATACGTCATGATTCATCTGATAATTGCTATTAAATTTCGAAGCCTAATTCTTTCCCTTCTGAAATTCACCCTGCGAACAGTAAGAATTTTAATCTTTAACCTTAGATTCCGCATCTATTAATAAATTCTACTCCTAAATTTTTACTGAATAAAAAGTTATCGGTCCTGTTTTTAGGAAATTTACCCGGAAATCCTCTAGGGCCGGGTTCGCCGGGGGGTCCTGGAGGTCCTTCCGGGCCCGGAGGTCCGGCCGAAAAGCTGTAGAGGCGCACCGCAGTGCTCAGGGCTACCAACTGCTCATTGTGAAACGTAGTAATTTATCTTAGGGCTACCAACTGCTCATTGTGAAACGAGAAAATTATGCTCGGGGCTACCAACTGCTCATTGTGAAACGAGGAACTCATGCTCAGGGCTACCAATTGCTCATTGTGAAACGAGATCATTATTCTAAGTGCTACCATAGTAGGCAGATGAATGAGATGAAGATATTCAAAGAGATTGATAGGAATTAAATGAGATAGGACGTACATGAACGGTTAAGGTGCATTGAAACAATTAGCGTAATAATATTTGAATGTATTTACTTTCTTCCCACATGAACACAGTTTTCTTTATGAAATGCGAATGGTTTTAAGCAAATACGTGGGAGCCTGTTTGTGATGGAAACGTCCTAAGTGAGCTAACAATGCGCATGCGTGCGCGATTCATGTACATTTACTGCGTATTTCGTTCAGTTTTTATTATTTACAGTGGAAGTGCTATAAAGCCAATTCACGATCGATCATTACAATATATATTAACAGTTGCGTCACGTTCAGATTATCAGAATCTAACTCTTGATTTTGTTCTCACTTTTTCCTCGAGATCTTTGACTTTATCTTTGAGTTGACCAACTGTCTCGCAGGTGGCGGTGCAGCGCTGGTGGCCGTGAGTGCTGTACCCGCGGCGGGCTTCTTCGTAGAGCAGCTCTGACACGACACCATGAGGAGTAACAATAAAATATAGTAATAACATCACTCAATCAAGTCCAAGGAACATGAAAGGTGCGAGAACATTTATTTGAATCTTAACCCTTTGCTTACGGATGCATTTACCGTCGTCTGTATTATTCGTACATAGATGCTGGGACCGAAAAGTTCTGTCAGTACACTAAGTATCCAGTTCAAATGCTTAGTGGTAGATACAAACACATTTAACAATGACTTAGAATCAACAAACAATATGTTTTGAATTAACACATATTAATCAAGGCGAGGTGTGAACTTGATACCATTTTTATTTTAATTCTCTGTAACTTATTTCATTTCCTCAGATTGAAATCGTAAAAATGCCTGTGAAACAAATGAAAATATCCCGTTTTGGACTGGTATTTTAAAATCTATAATCAACACCTGTTGTTTTGAAAATTACAACATGCGTGTTCATTTCATGAATGAAATTGGATAAAACTATTCGAAACATTCCAGATCATACGTATATAACTCGAAACACTTTTTGGGGGTTGTTCATGTATGAGAGTTGTGAAGCCGGAAACTCATTAGCATTCATGATATTTTCGAAATTCACTCAATGACAGTTATACCATAAATTGACAAACAGTTGTTGAGAAACTGTCTCTGAACACTTTGAAATCTCCCGAATAAAATAATTAAAGGTCATTTTTTATATTTTAGAAACAGTGCCTGAAAAGCGTCACCTGAAATCAAAGTGTATTAAAAGTTCATCTATTTGATAACTAAATTAGAAAACTTATGATCTATTCAGTACGAGGCAGATTTTTTACCTTAATATTCTGGTTTATGTTTACTCACATCGATCCATTATACTTTCTTAGTATTCTTAGTGCCCTAAGTTAGTGTTTCGGACCAGGCCACGCTGGAGCTCCGCTACCGCACGCATTGAAATTCTCCATTTCAATAAATTATTTAAACATTATTTTATAAACTGGTTTGTCACCGGTGAACAACGTAACCAAGTTTATTGCCTACTCACTCTCGTCCCCCGTCTCCGGCTCCTGTTAATCGGGGGTTTGCCTAGCGGCGCCTACTCACCCTCGTCCCCCGTCTCCGGCTCCTGATCATCGGGGGTTTGCCTAGCGACGCCTACTCACCCTCGTCCCCCGTCTCCGACTCCTGTTCATCGGGGGTTTGCCTAGCGACGCCTACTCACCCTCGTCCCCTGTCTCTGGCTCCTGTTCATCGGGGGTTTGCCTAGCGGCCCCTACTCACCCTCGTCCCCCGTCTCCGGCTCCTGTTCATCGGGGGTTTGCCTAGCGACGCCTACTCACCCTCGTCCCCAGTCTCCGGCTCCTGTTCATCGGGGGTTTGCCTAGCGACGCCTACTCACCCTCGTCTCCCGTCTCCGGCTCCTGTTCATCGGGGGTTTGCCTAGCAACGCCTACTCACCCTCGTCCCCCGTCTCCGGCTCCTCGTCATCAAGAAGCGGCTCAGGTACACTGGCTGCCTGTAGTCCTGCGTTGAGGGAGCGGGGCTGGGGGGAGGCCACGTCACACGTTCGGTTGTCCGACAGCAACTTGAACCCTGGAAGTTAGGAAGTTTACAGTTTTGAAAAGATGTATAAGTATAAGTGTATTTATTATCATGTAATATAGTAGGTTGCACATTTCCTACCACTGGTAATTAGACTAAGAATAACAATATCAATAATTAGACTATGACTATCAATATCAAGCGTGACCAGCTCTGACATGGGCGTCAATTTTTGGTGTCCGTCAGTTAAGCTGCTGATTCCGACCGGCGTAATATGGTGTCTCTTAAAGAATTTTTAACTCCAACGCCTGGGGAGTTGTTGCCTATGATAATGTTTTAATTTCTATATATTTGCTATACAGTGAAATTTATGAACATATGATTGAGTTGTCGTACTTAGGTATTTATTATTTGTTCTCTATTTAAAGGATCACGCGCTTTATCTCTTAAACTCCCAGCTCTAGCTCTCCCTGCACATCCTATTTGTCAATTTGTATTTCTCTCCTTGCGCATACAAATTGTTAATTATTAGTGCTCTATTCGCGTCTGATTTGTACATTGAGTGTTCCTCTCTTGTCGCTTCTTATTAGGTTACCGTTTTCCCGGGCGTCGTCCTATTAGTCCTTTGCTTATTTGAGGTCTGTCTTTAAATTTATCAAATTTAGCTGTTTATATTGCGTTTCAGCCCCCTTCCAGCTTAAAGCTTTGATTAGTTAACCAATAAGAAAGCTTGTATCAAATAACTTCCGGTCATTGGTTGGCATGACGAGATGACCATCCGAACTTTTGAGGTGACGCGAACGGTTATGCTATTACTTTACGTGGGCTCGACACAAATCTTAAATTACAAATTGGCTAATGGAGCTGTCACTGGAATATTATACGAATATTTTAGGCTAGAATATTATTGCCACAAGCCAACCTGGTCGACAGGAGCACACGTGTCCCCCCACAGTGTTGATGCAGGCGTGGTCGCAGCCGCCGTTTGTGGTGTCGCACTCGTCCACGTCTGCGACACAAACGCATTTCAAAATTTTATATTAATTACAATTAAAAGCTAACTAAATTAGAACTCAACGGTCGAGAACAGAGATTAGTGTAAGTCGATATACATACGTTGGCAAAGTGGGTGATCAGTTTGAATATTCTAAGATTCCCTCCTGCGTATTCAGATTTTAAATTAGTTACTCCTCCGGCTCAAAGATTCCCGCCTGAGCATTAAAATTTTAAATTAGTTACTCCTCTGGCCCAAAGATTCCATCCTGCGTATTCAGATTTTAAATTAGTTATTCCTCTAGCCCAAAGATTTCCTCCTGCGTATTAGTTAGTTAGAGTTAGTTTTTATAAATCTGTTTGGAAGAAATACTTAGCAGGAAAATTAAAACGCTGTCCTAAACTCAGACGAACTCACAGTGCCTCCTCTGTCCTCCCCATGAATGCGACTGCTCAAAACATTATTTGTATTAGCGTCTGTGCTACAATCTTTGTGTGCTTTATCTATTATGTTTTGGTCTTAATTTTGACGTTTAATAAGAATATCTCCCAGGTATATCAAGTCCGCCCCTTAGTGGCATTATTTTAGAGATGCTTCAAAATAGTTTTTTATGACATATTATTTCATGAATATGATACTATATATATAATATCGTCACATCATTCCGAGAAAATCCACCTCGGAAAACGAGAATTACCATCGACGTGTGCTAACCAAAGCAACACAACGCGTCTTTTCTATAGAATATCCAAATAATAATCAATTAAATGACTTACTGCGACATCTATCCAAACCGAAGCATCGAAAATCAATGTGAAAATTTTCGCAACTCTATACATTTGTTTTACCAATATCCACGCTCTATTTCCTAATTAAAAGGCTAAATATTAAATTAGTTATAAACTATTGTATATAAAAATGTTGTATATAGAAAACACTGTATATAAATATTAAATATTCACCTACGCAAACCGGAGCGATGCCTCGCTTGTGGTTGCCGGGGCTGAACTGGTAGCCGGAGTAGCAGGTGCAGATGACGCGGCCGAAGTACACGGAGCACTTCTGCTCACACAACTTCTGCGAGCAGGGGTCCATGGCCTCCGGCAGACATCTGCGTGGTCAGGTCTTAGGGATTGTATATTTCATAAATATTTGTCAAGGTTCGTGTGTTTGGAGCCTGGTACCAAGAAAATTTAAGGGCTATTAGAAGGCGAATCCACGATGCTTATCGTGTCGACATAATAGTGAGGCATATTGCATATCGTGCCGAATAGTAAGGCTTGCAGAACTGGCAATATTGGGTAGGATCAAAAATTACCAACAGATTTAATTAAATTACTTATTACTATAGGATCAAACGTTACAATATCATGTGTGATTGGTCACTATATCATAAATCGATTGTTTTCATATCATGCAGCAATTGTAAGACGATAATATATATCACATAGAAATTGTTGGTATATCACATAGCAATGTAGCCCTCACCGCCCCGCGACGAAGTTGTACCCCTGGCAGCAATGGCGCTTGAAGCAGTCAACCCACTTGCCCTGCACCTGGCACTTGTAGCGCGTCGTGATCACGTCACTGCTGGGGCACTCCAGCGTGTCCGACCTGATATTGGTACAATAATCCATTAATGCATTCAAAAGCTAATAGCATAATGGATTCGAAGGCTGATGCATTATTGCATTCAGAAGATGCGTTCAAAAGGAATTCTTAAATGGGAAAATAGAATATGTTATTGCTACTTCTTGTGTTACCCATTGAAAGAATGATGAATACTTATACCTTGAAGAAAATAGCACAAATATACTTTCGTAAATATAAAAAATCTGGCGCTAAAACTTTATGAGTTAAGCACCAACAAAATGATAAAACATTTACGTATTGAAAAAAGAAACAAGAAAATCTTAAAAAAATCTGACAAATCAACTTCAGTGTGACTGTCGACAAAATGATGATTATCTTTACGTAGACAAAAAATAAACAAGTAAATCTCAATGAAAATAATTTATTGTTTATAATTTATAATATATTATATGTTTTTATTATATTATTATGTAATTGAAAGGTACCGTAGGCACTTATATGCAGCCTATTTCCGTCTCATAATAATGGCCGTCACAGCCAGAAAAATGAGTGAGACTTTGTACAAAAAACACGATGCACTTCTTCCTCTTTGTATAGGTCATCCTGACCCAGTTTGGGCCGACAAAGGGCGTATCAGTCAATCGTAAGTCCGTTCTCTATTCGTGTTGTGAGTACGAAAATGTATCAGTATTTGGACAATAAAACCAATTTGTTTTTCTGAGTGCATCCTCGTCACTATTTGGACAATAGTGCGAATTCATTTTATAAGTGCATCCTCGTCTTTATTTGGACATTCACATTAGTGTGCAGTCATTTTATTAGAGCATTTCGTTATTTGGACAATAGTACGCATTCACTTTATGAGTGCCCTCTCACCTCGTAACGGCTTGTATGGCGCCCAGGCTGATCGGAGTCTCGGGTTCGGACGAGTTGCCAAGCGCAAAGAACGCACTATTTGCGACCACGTAGCCATCAGACCCATACGAGTCCATTTCCTCCCGCTCGTCGTCTTCGGAAAATTTGTTGTGTAGCCCGAACGTTTGATGAAGAAGGTTGATGTCATCACGAATAAGTCGCGAATTTAAGCTAACACCGTTCAGTGAATGAACCTTTATCCTCGGCTCGAACACGTTGCTATTTATATGTACTGGATCTTTATTTTTATTAGGAATTCTTGCATCTGCGAGCCCGTGATTTCTTGGATAGAATTTCGGTATCCTGGGCGACTGGCGTGGCGAAGTTGCAGGTGTGCTGGAGTTTGCTGATGATAACTCTGCCGACGCTAGGATCGTCCTTGCGAACAGGACAATGACCGATGCCCGGATGTATAACCTGGGATACAAAGTGGGCATCAAAACGATAGATTTTGATGCTATTTTTAATCAAAATATAGTTCTTATTAATTGTTTTCAACCATGGCTGAGAAAATTTCAGGTTTCAGAGAAGAACGTTGAGGAAGTTCAATTATCAGAAAAGTTGAAGCCCAACTTCAAACGAAAAAAAAAATAATCAAGTTACGATTATATAATTTGCACTTTTGACTATGAAACAATTAGAAACAATCGATGATACATTTCATTTTCCAAACACTTTGTCCTAAAATTGCACATGGTAGATTGCTTTATTACCTGATTTAAATTACTCCCATACGAAAATCATAGAATCAATCAATTGTAACAAAAAAATTCGTGCGCTTAGATACACAATAATTAATTCAACATTGTAAGTTTACCAGATGTAGTAAATTAAATCAAGTCTTAAATTCAACCGATGCACGCAACTCGTAGTTTCAGGACACGAATCTACACAATATTTGGGATAACTTAGCTGCTCTCGTAAACTGAACCACTTACCTGGCCATGATGTGTGAAAGACGAGTTTGAACTGCTCAATGTCTGCTCCTCAATTTTGGTCTTTTAACGTCGTACAATTGCGTATTTATTTGAGTTTGTCATTATTGAGGCGTATTTGATGCTTCTCGATTTGCTTTTTTTAGTCAAAACTTATGCATTACACGAGGAAGTGCAGGCTTGTATTTTATATGAATAATTGTATAATTAAATTGACGCCAGCAAGAAATTTTGTTAGACTCTTTGAAAAAAACGAACAAGAAGATTATTAATAAAAAGCATGCTCTGGTATTCAATCAAACTTTCATAAAAGAAAAGCTTCTGCAGAACTACACCAATAATTGTATAAGTATACATATACTTGTATTGGTGTAGTTTTTGGTCAAACTATAGAGCACGTCAAAATAAAACGGACAATGAACCAACATCAAACGGATGTGTTACGACAATTTATTACCAAAACCAGATGACTGGAGGCTATAAGACAGACGAAAGAGTTCTTAAATAAACTGTACTAAATATAATCACAAGTAGAACCGCAACCGACCGAATCAAATTCCTGTTTTAATATAAAAACATGAACTCAAGAATTTAACGATTTAAAATTATTCATGCAAGGAGTCGGAATAATTACAAGAAGCCAATGTCATTTACAACTATCCCTGCCAGGCTGCCACAAAGAAAGTTATAGACCTCCAGAATAGACCAAGAATGTAAATTGCATCGGTTTGACCAGCACGACTTTGAGCCGCCGCCTATAATATGCCACCTCCAGACCCGGAGGACCAAAGAACCACATGAGAGAGGCTAATAGTGAGACCCACACTCGAAAATTATAATAAAATTTCCCTTAGAAACCTGACATTTGAATTTTCAAGTCTTTTCAAAAGCCAAATTCGCTGAATAGAGAAAAATAATAGGTAACAAAATTGTCAATAAGAAATTCTCTCTGGTCTTCAGTGAAACCTGCATTAAATACATATGTTGTATACTTTTCTTATTTGCTACCTAAACTTATGATACAACTAGATGACTCATCGAACTTTTTTTTATTTTTTTTTTGCGACTAAATGCCTGATTGTTACGTTTTCTTGCGATGTTGCTACGTCTGAGTCTGTTTGTTGCATTTCCCAGCGTTATTTCTACGTCTGAGTCTGTTTGTTGCATTTCCCAGTGTTGTTGCTACGTCTGAGTCTGTTTGTTGCATTTCCCAGCGTTATTGCTATGTCTGAGTCTGTTTGTTGCATTTCCCAGCGTTATTGCTACGTCTGAGTCTGTTTGTTGCATTTCCCAGCGTTATTGTTCCGTCTGAGTCTGCCTGTTTCATTATCATACGTTTTTTTAATCACAAAATTATTCGGTCCCAAATCAACCTTCATTTTTTCAGTAAAGATTTACATCATTGAACGGCACACGCATAACCATGACTAAAATCATCAAATTACACTCCTAATATTTTTCCACGTTTTTTGCACAATTTGTCACCACGCCAAAGCATGTACAATTGTACATCATATTTAAACAGCACATTTAACCACCACTGTCAGTTTTTTTAATAAATTATCACTTCACGAATTTATCATTTTTAACGAATCATTTGTGACAGGTCGAACCGTACAACTTAATTCAATAGCACTTTGTAATTTTGTATGTTTTTTTTTTGCACTGCAGAACTTCAAGTGGTCTTATACAATAGTAATAAAACTCTATAAAGTGCCTGACTTTTCATCATACATTTTCACTTAATTTTAAATTTCATAGCTTCGAAAAAATGTTTTAACTTGCGACAGGAACGATGAAGACGAGACCTCCTCTCAGCTGGGAGTGCTGCCGATACAAGGACGTCGTCAATCTTCCCCCTCAGCACATCCGTAGCTGACGAACAATTGGGCGTTGTGCTCAAGTGCCGCTGCTGGAGAGGGCTTACTGCTCTGCGACCATACATCTTAGTCAAAGCGCGTAACTATATTAGATACTTCTGTGCAACACTTATTCTATGCATTTACATTGTGGCAAATGGTTTTTATTTCGCAGTACATGGGCAAATATATATCCCCGATAAAATTTGTAATCTTTCAGGCATGATAACTAAAATCTAACGTGTTTATTTAAAATTGAATGTCATAAATGGTAGATAACTATTAGTATTATCATTCTTTTTATTGCTGTTTATTGTCACGGTGAATATATATATATACGGTGAATACCTCAACCATTACATTAAAAAAAATCAACAGGCATAAGACTATGAATGAAAATGATTGATCAAGCTACTCAACGTTTCTGGATGAACCTGAGCCATGACTCAATCAACAAACCGTTAGATTTTTATTTATATTTTGTCGTACTCCGCCGGTTTAAAAGTGCAACCGCAGATGAAAAATGCTTGAATGAACACGCATAATTGTCTAATTGTTCTTCAAAGCTGGCGTGTTCATATTTCAAAAGCCTATAGTTAAATATATCACTCGAAAAATTATATTCACGTATTTTTTAAAACGAAATTGCACTATTAATAATCGAAATGCAAAAATAAAGACTATATAGTCCATATATAAAGATAAGTGAATTCTTTTATGCCTATGTTACTCTGGTAAATGAAGACTGAAGGTAAATTATAATTCAATTTATTTTATTAGATTAATAAATATGCTAATTTTTCAAACAAATTTCAAGTTAAATCGCTTAAAACAAATTTTAACTTGTTTAGGTTGGTAGCCGTGATGACGTGGCCTCCAATCGCATCACGTCATCTTGGTGACATCAGTAAGCGCTACCAACTTCGTTTATTTACATTCTGTTCCTTGCTGTCGGAAGGTGTGCAGTGTGCTCGGAGTAACATTGAGTAAGTGACTGATACGTGATTTTGAACTTAAAGGGGTTCTCAAAAACTTGAAAGGTTGTAGCACTAGCAGTGTTGCTTAATGTTTTTTGTCGTTATTCTGGCTTACTATTTCATGCAAGGGACCAAGAATGACGATGCTATGTATTTGAATACCGTCAATTTAAAGTGGCGTCAAACGGGGTACCTACTAATGAGGGACGGGTTTTCGTCAACAAATTCTTACCATCAATACCATGAAGCATTTCATAAATAAGCTTGGGTTCATTTTAAAGCCCTTTGCAAGGGCTATCGAATGGGTTCTCCAAAAAAGTTCTATATTTTATTTGTGAGGTTCCAGACAAAAAATGAGTGTCCCAAATTACCCCTGGGAGACTGGGATTGCTGGGAACAGGGTACCTAATCCGGGACACTTGAAATGACAAATGAAACTTAATTTTAAAATGTTTGAAGCATGCAGAGTGTATAGCTCATTTATTACTAACAGTAATCTGAAGTCCTCCTTTTCCTTTGTAGATGATGTAGATAGAGGATAAATGACATTTTCTGTTAACCTATTTTTACTTGTTTTTCCTTTATTGATATGATATTACCATTTCCATGCATTACCGATTTACCGTTTTATTGATGTGATATCACTGATATTAGGGTAAACGCACCATATTCCGACATCGTAGGTAATTCCGATACTTCTCAACTTTTTCTTTTATATTAAGCTTTGTCTTAGGTAGTTCCATGCAGGGCTGGAAAAGTCCTATTTTTGTCTGAAATATCGCGGTTCTAATATCATATAATTTCAGTAGGTATGAAATCTCGCGGCTCGAATGTCATAAATTTTTGTTTGATTGAAAAATCGTGGTTGGAACTTTGCAAACATGTCACTTCATAAAATTTTCAACTTCCGCAATTCGCATTGCTTTACCGTTCCCACCAAAATATCCTGCAGAAAAAACATAAACATCGTAATGTAAAAAAATCAACTAGTAAATGTTTTGTTGAAGATCGCGCACAGTTGCGGTAATGTCAAAGCAGTCAGACTGCATTCACACATGCTCAACTTACTGTAAAGACAAATTTTATCATTGCCATTTGACTGTTTTAGGGTAAAATTAAATATTTGGGATAACACGTGCATGGACTTTGTAAATAAATTTGCGCCTCGTTAATGGCTTTTCATGGCCAAGATATGGAATTCACGGCTCAGTGAAATGGAATCACGGCTCGAAGAAATGGAATCACGGCTGGCAAATCCATAAAGCCACGGCTCGAAAAATTCAGTCGGGGCTCGCCAAGTAGATATATACCATGCCTGGTTCCACGCATGCATAGATGGTTGAAATAGTGATGTCATACTATTGCACACCAGATTTCAGCAAAACACTATAGGTCTGGTGAGAAAATGTTAAGATCCTCATAGCAAAAGTCCACATCAGACATCACCCTGTGAGAACATAGAAAAACATGTCAAAGTTGATAGTTGACCTTGCTCTGCCAAATAGTGATCAACTGTTGGTGTAGAAAGAATATTATGGTTTGAGACTTATAAATAAGTCTGTGAATATATTAGGAATCCTTTAAGTATACTTGTATTTGCTGATTTTAAGTGGTAAATAAATTAATAGATGATTAAGTTAAGAGACAGTTTTAGACACATAAAAATTAATTCTGATACAGCTCAGAATTAGACACACACAGCTTGTTCCGAGCGGCAAGCTGTGTCGTATTCTGACACAGCTCACACAGGGCATTGGAATTCCAACACAGGGCATCAGAATTACAAATTACGGTTTTGAAGCTTTGTCTGAATTAGTCTCACAATATGCCTAATTTAGTCACACACAGCATCGGGATTCAGCGATTTTGTAGATTTTAATTCTAAAGGCTTTTAAATAAATATGGCAACAGTTTGTGATGTTTCATCATTGCTGGTGCATAGTGTGGTGTTTTGAGAGTAACATAAAGCAATCAGAACTTGAGTTGCACATATGGTGATCTTTTTATAGTCATTCATTTCTTGCTACATCCTTAAAGTGTTGGAATATAGTGTGTTTACCCTACCATATCCATGGACATGCCATTGTGCATTTACAATGACCTTGTCCACTGCGAGCTTCATATCAGCAGCCATGTAGCATTTCTTAATATGTATCTGGAAGCTTACATGAAGGCTTATAATTTCATATTTTAATTGGGTCCAGCCATCCATGGCTGGAAAAGTCCTATTTTTTCTGAAGTATTGCAGCTCTATTATCGTATAATTTCAGTATGAAATCTTGTGGCTCAAATGTCATACATTTTTGTTTGATTGAAAAAATTATGGTTTGCACTTTGCAAACATGTC